TCTATCTTATCGGGCCGCTGAAAATAAATTAATACATAAATTAGTAAATAAATAATGCCGAAAAAAGGTTATTTGCATTTTTAGTATATTATTAAACATATTTTACCTCATTACGTAGAGTATGAACCTCATTCTGTAACGATGAAACAATATCGCGTAGAGCGGCAACCTCATCACGTAGCGCACCATTATCATCGCGTAAAAAATCCACCTCACCACGTAAAGATCGAACCTCATCACGCCATGCACCATTATCTTCACGTAAAGTACTGACGTCATAACACAAAGCACCGACCTCATCACATAATTCCCCTAACTCATCCCGTGAAGGTAGAGAACAGGGAGATAAATGTCTTGGCCTCTTTGCCGGTCGCCTATCATGAGGTGATGATGGAGAAGAGGCTCGATGATGTGATGGAATAGGTTATGGTGGAGGTGGAGAAGAGGCTCCATCAGGTGATGGCTCCGGGTGTTGAGCTGTAGAATCGGCCCGATTAGGTGATGGCTCTTGAAGTGGGGGTGCTCATCATCTGTCCCATAAAAAAACCGCTTACTAGCTTGCCACCAATCAGTGGCAAGCTCAGCCTCTGTGGGTGTCAGCCTCTGTAATGGATAGTTGGCCTCCTAACAATATAAAAGCTCAAACAAAGTTAAACTTGTATTAGTAATAACTTGTTTATATATGATATTATTTGTGTGTTAACTTACATCATTCATCGTCGTATATGGGAGTAAATCTTCCCAATCCAACATGCGGATCCTCTTCCACGTAATAGCCCTAGGAATATCATTTGATCTTTTTATCGCATATGTCCGCATGCTGGGGAAAGCCTCAAATATCCAAATCTACAAAATAATATAATACACAAACATTAGTAATTATTAAATAATTAATTATAATTTTTGAAACATTATATAGAAATTCTTACCTTAAAGGCCCAAGTAAAGCCTGTCAAAGTGTATTTAGAACCATCGCCCCGCAAACGTTTTTGGTCCTCAAAGGCAGACGACACTTCTTCCAGGTAGCTTTCCATAGATATGAACCCCACGGAAACAGGTTCTATGCATTTAGGTCATCTACTAATAATATTAGGTCCTCGGAGATTGGTTATCTGCCCTCTTTGCCTAAAAAGCCGGCATGCAAAAGTAATAAATGACATACTCGGACAACATCAAGGTCATCCATCCGAGTAAAACCATCTTTATCAAATAATCTCTTCAAGTCGTCGACGTGTATACTCGGCTTCGACTTTGCCAGCTCAGGAAAAACCCGATATAACCATGATGGGCGGGCGATATGACTAGTGTACCGACCTACATCATCGTGTCTGAAGCGTAGACCAGTGATTAAGCAAAACTCCTCCCACCCAAAACAAGTATACGCCGGTGTCGGAGGAAAATGAAACCATATCTCCTCATCACCACGTTGTACCCCCTCGGGTAGATCGTTAGTCATGGTATGAAGAAACAAATGTGTCAACATAGCATCTCCACCCGTATGTTGCACTTTCAGCCATAGCCCTAAGCAAGTATCCTAATTTTTTTTTTGTAGAGGCGTAAGTAGGGATGGCAACTCAACCCGAATCTGACGGGTTCCGACCCGACCCGATCGGGTCGGATTTTTTAAAAAAAAATCGGGTTTAGGTCGGGTCGGGTTTTTTTTAAATGTACTGTTCGGGTCGGGTTTAGGGTGAAAAAAATCCGACCCGACCCGACCCGAAAAATATATATAATTTTATCCTATATATTTAGGGATAATTACAATAATGTCCCTCCATATATAATTTTTTTCAATTAAGTCACTGTTTTCATTGAATAATTTTTTTTTATTATTTCGGGTCGGGTTTCTAAGTCATATATTCGGGTCGGGTCGGGTGAAACCTTAATTTCGTCGGGTCGGGTCACGGGTGAAAAACCCTTTCTTCTCGGGTCGGGTCGGGTGGCCCAAAAACCCGACCCGACCCGACCCATTGCCATCCCTAGGCGTAAGCGTCGACGCAATTTTAGTGGCTAGACTTAATTTATTCCTTAAGGTCAATGCAGTCGAAAAAAATTTCTATAAAAACAATAAACATACCAAGTTAGATATACCAAAAACTACAAATTATACACTATAAACAGACATGATATTAAACAGTGAAAACAAAGCCAAATATGTTTCAAACTAACACGGTATTCACCCAAGTCATTATTCTATCATAGTTCACAAAATGCATCAGATAACATTCCAGAAGTAAGCATTTATATAAACATTAAAAAGGACAACATATATGTTTAGTGCAGGTTCAAGGACAACATAAAGAGTAGTAGTTTATTCTTGAAACTTAAATTAGCAACACTATGAAGTTAGTATTTATTTTTGTTTTTTGGTTGAAGTAATGCAATTCATTCAAGTTTCAATTTGAAGAATAAAAGAAGTTTCTGAAACTTAAATTCGCAACGCGAAAAATGAAAATCGCAACGCGATTTTATTTTCGCGTTGCGAATTTGGTGTTGCGATTTAGGGTTTCTTCAACAAAAAGACAAAACAAAGACAAATACTAACTTCACAAGGTTAAAGACTAAACAGTTTAACAGTATTGGCAGCAACCGAATGAATTTAGCAATCTCAGTGAAATGGTTAATCTAATAATAATACAAAAAATTCAAAATAAAAATAAGAGATTAAAAAAACTAACCCTCGGTGGTTGATTTTCCATTTTTGACCATGAATAATTGTGAGGGTTGCTCTGAGAGATGGAGATAGACGAATTTCGTCGGAAATGGGGACGAATTTCGTCGGAGATGGGGACGGATGTCACCGTAGAGAGTGAGAGATGGAGATGGGACTGAGTTGTGCTTTAGGGTTTTAGGTTAGAGATGATTTGCGATAACACTGTTTACATTTGTGTTGCAAAATTAATATTGTGTTTCACGTAAAAACATTTGACTTTCGCTTTGCGAATTTGACTATCGCGTTGCGAATTTGAAAAATCGCAATGCGATTTACATATTCGCATTGCGAAATTGGAAACTGGGTTACGAAATTAGAATTTGCGTTGCGAATTTGTTGGTCATTTTGGTAAATCCAAAAAAAGTTGGTTAAATTCGTATATTATAAGGCATTTTTAATCACTGACGTTATTTTCTCTTCTTTTAATACTTTAATAATATGGCGACCGTTATTAATCTGAATCAACAATATCATGTCATGTTTTCAATAAAATAATGCACTACAATAATACGACAATATGGACAGCCGACCTAATAGCATCGATCTGTGCATTGAGCATGTTATGGTTGAGGTAACCTTAGGTGCGTTTGGTTCACGGAATGCAAGATTACCAGTGGGAATGTAAGATTACCAGAGAATAAGATTATTGAGAATGTTGTATTTTGTGTTTGGTTGGTTTAGCAGGAATGTAAGATTACTGCGTTTGATTAAAGGAATAAAATATTATTAGAATGCATATTTGACCAAATTGTCCTTATTATATATTTTTAACAAGTTGGAAAATATTTATATATTTTCTTTAAAAAATTTAAATTCATAAAATTTATATATATATATTTTTACAAATTTGAAAATATAAAAAGATTTAATGAAATAGTAAAATTTTATTTTAACCCCTGAACTTCATATAAAATTTTAATTATAGACTTTTTTTTTTGTAAATTTAAAATAGTTTAAGGATAAATTTGTAATTTATCCTTCGTAGATTTTTTATTATTTAATGACAGAAGAATATATTTTTGAAAAAAAAAATTTAAGGACATTTTAGTCCAAAACGCCGGTAATCCAACAATACCTAAGGAAAGGGAGATAATGACATTCTCGGTAATATACCCCAAAAAATCTACTATTGGTAATAAAACATTACCGGAAATGAGATTTCCGACCAATCAAACATGGGAATGTGAATTCCATTCCCATGGGAATCCCACATTCCTCGAACCAAACATCCCCTAAGGGGTGTTTGGTTCAAGGAATGTGGGATTACCGAGGAATGGAATGTCATTCCCCCATTTGGTTGACAAACATTCACAACCCCCGATAATCTTTTATTCCCAACAGTGGTATTTTGGGAGTATATTACCGGGAATGTGATTACCCCTTCCCTTAGGTATTGTTGGATTACAGGCGTTTTAGACTAAAATGTCCTTAATTTTTTTTCAAAAATATCATTATTATGTCGTTGAATAAAAAAATTCTACAAATGTTAAATTACAAATTTATCCTTAAACTATTTTAGATTTACAAAAAAAATCCATAATTAAAATTTTATATGAAGTTTAGGGGTTAAAATAAAATTTTACCCATTCATTAAACCTATTTATCTTTTCAATTTTGTAAAAAAAATATATAAATTTTATGAATTTAAATTTTTTAAAGAAAATATATAAATTAATTATAATAATATTATAGTAGAATTCAACTTGTTAAAAAAATAAATATATAATAAGGATAATTTGGTAAAATATACATTTCAATAATATTTTATTCTTTTAACCAAACACTATAATCTTACATTCTAGTTAAACGAACCAAACACAAAATACAACATTCTCAGTAATCTTATTCTCACTGGTGATCATATTCCCACTGATAATCTTACATTTCATGAACCAAACACACCCTTAGGGTCATGGGCTCTGTGGAGTTCCCTAACAATGCATACTCTATATTAACTGTGCTGGGGTTAATCCCTATTAAGTAAAATAAGAGTAGGCATTGACCATGAAAGGTGCACCGGTATCGACCAAAAACCCAACAATCGAGCTCATAGTGCGAATAAGCTTGGTAGCAAAGGTCGAAGCCGAAGGCGGGAACAAAGAAGCAAGCGCCGCCGTGCTATGCGGTGTAGTGACCTTGATTCAAGCGTGTTTGTTCCACTTTTCTTTAAACTCTGAAACACCTGTGTACACTTAAATGTGTACATACATGTATATATAATATATATGTATAGACCATCTAAGGGTTTTCAAAGAAAGGAAGGATGCAAATTCATAGCAACAAGTAATTAATCCAAAGAGCTGCATGAATTGAAATGCTAATTTGTTCATGTCACTCTGCTGTCATTACAAATGAGCCTGTTTATTTGTTGTTTACATGAACATTGGAAAACATCTTTGAGCAGTAACTATACCATCAGCATGTAAAAGGTAACCATAATAAAGTTACAGCCGTTTAGGCCTCGTAAACTTTGCATTCCTTATCTGCTGGGTTTGTCTTGCAGTAATCCTCCAAGGAGTCACCGGTTCCGTCTGCGGCCGCACCGGGCCACTTGGCTGCCACCAAATGTGCCAAATCAACAACCCTTTGGCTGTGCACATCACGTAGTAAAAGTTATTGATCTACAAATTCAAATGTAAAGATAGCCTGTTTATTTCTTGCTTAAAGCTCACCTGTAACCCCATTCATTGTCATACCAGGCGACCACCTTGACCATGTCATCTCCCATGACCATAGTCAAGGAAGAGTCGATGGTGGAGGAGACATCGGAGCACCTAAAGTCCACCGAGACAAGAGGAACATCGCACACTTCCAACACACCCTTCAATGGTCCCTCGGCAGCCTTTCTGAAAGCAGCATTCACGTCTTCAGCCGAAATGCCCTTCTTCTTAACATTCACAACAAGGTCGACAACCGATACATTCGGTGTTGGCACACGAAGTGCGATCCCGTTGAGCTTGCCCTTGAGTTGGGGAAGCACGAGTGACACAGCCTTGGCTGCACCCGTGCTTGTTGGTACAATGTTCAATGCTGCAGCCCTGGCTCGTCTCAAGTCGCGATGCGAAGCATCTAAGAGCCTCTGGACCATCAACATGTTATTTTAGTTTTCTTCGTGCTCCAAACAATTCATTTGACATATAATTATTAATGGTAACCTAATTGTTGCGAGTATGCAACTTCTGAATTCGTCAATGGAGTGTTCGTGTTCGGTTAATTAGTACGATTACCTGGTCCCCGGTGTAAGAGTGGGTGGTTGTCATTGTACCCTTCACAATGCCTGCAAATTAGAGGTTTTGGCAAAGTGAGAAAAGGTCCATCTCCAAAGTTTAAGCTTGTGAAATGATATATGATTTACCAAACTCTTCATCCATGACTTTCACAAAAGGAGCCAAGCAATTTGTGGTGCATGAAGCATTGCTGCAGTGCAAGCACAAAATGGCAATCAAATTCTAAACCACCAGAACAAATTGAAAACGAGAATGACCGTTGTTACTGCTTTATAAGCAGGAAACTCCTTAATCGAAACCGACCTGATGATGTTCGCAACCTCATGGTCGTAATCTCCTTCATTGACTCCAACAACATAGGTTGGAATATCCGCACCTTTAGCCGGAGCTGTTATGATAACCTTCTTGGCACCAGCTTGTATGTGCTTTCCAGCTCCGGGGCCGTCCACAAAGACTCCGGTTCCCTGTAAGACACATGTCAAATGTTTTTATTATCGTTATAGAAAGTTCCCTGTAGGCCAAATTCTGTTAGCACTAAGGGAAAAGACCGACCTCGATAACAATGTCGATGCCAAGTTCAGCCCAAGGAAGCTTGAGAGGGTCCCTGTTAGAGACGACCTTGATGAGCTTACCATCAACACTGATGGTTTCATTGTTGATTATCTTCACATCAGCTTTGAATGTTCCTAGCATCGAGTCGTATTTCAGCAAGTGTGATGCCTGTGTTCAATGAACGGAACTAACCGAACCAAACCTCATAGGTTAACTCTTTAAAAGCATGATAAGTGAAACAGGGTTACTTACATTCTTCACACCACCACTGTCATTCACGACAACGACCTCGAGGGGCGAGTTCTTCCTGCCATGCCAGCATCGGAGGAAGTTCCTTCCGATGCGTCCAAATCCATTGATTGCAACCTTCAGTTTGGCAACTGTTTCTCCCCTAACAGGAGCTGATGGTGCACCTACAGTCTAAATTTCAAACAGCTTCAATCCATCAGTGCCATATGGGTAACAGTTAAGAATTAACATGATAAATCACTTGGCAATATCAAGCATGAGCACATTAAAGACCAGAGAATGAACCTTTGGGGTGAGTTGGGCAGCCAGCACATCGAAAAAGGTTGCATCTCGAACATTCTTGGTGAAGGTGACGCTCGAGCTCGATCGAAGACCAGAGAATTCAGCCACATCCAGTCTCTGCACAACAAAACCAAAATGAAAAATCCGAAAACCAAATCAAAGAGCAACAGAGAAAACAGCAGAGAGACCTTGGAGGAGCATTGGGTGAGGAAGGAGTGAGTAGTCTTAGAAGGGAGCCGAGTTCCGGCAGGGATTCTCGAAGGAGCAAGAGCAGCGTGAGTTGCCATGGGTGATCAGCTGCAATTAAAACTAAAACATCAATTTCCCCTCCCCTGGATTATTTATACAGTTTAATTCGTTGTTTCGGACGATACGTTTAAATTATGGTTGAAAGAAAATTAAAAGAATGTGTGGTGAATATGGTTTGTGCAGAGAGATTAAGTGATAAGATTGTGTGGGAGAAGAAAGCTCATAATTTGAGCCACAGCTCCGTCATCCGCTGTTATATTTTTCTCGACCGCACGTGCAGTCTTGCACTGTTTCAGAAATGACCATGTGTTTAATCACGACAAACAAATTATGGGATTCCAAGAAAAATCTGCTTGGCGTTTGCGAATGAACGTAACGTGTAGCTTTAAAGCTAGCCCTCGAGAGAGAATGACCAGGCTCTGGCTCAGTGGAGCCGTGCCCAAGCTATGATTTTATGGCTATGGGATCATTTTTGAGTACGGATAATGTTGAGACGCACGGACAGACAATTTTATATTAAGAGGGTGAATATATAAAATTGTAAGGAGGAAATCAGATCAAAAGACGATCCCATTAATCCTCCCTCAATCCATCCTTATTCAAATGATCATATCTATCAATTAACGGCTTCAAATCAATTCCGAACATCAAAATTTCTAATAGCTTTGAGCTTGGGTCATTTCTTCGTATCATTTTGAATTCGAATCAACACAAGATCGGGTTTTATTAACTTATTAGAGACAGGGAGAAGCATGCAAGATATTTAATTGAAGCAAGACCGTTCCAAGTAGTAGCAAATTATGCTATTTATAAAACCAACATTACAAATAAGAAACACTTCAACTGTTGCTCTTTAAAACCGGGCGGAAAACCTTGAGAATCTTGCTTTAATGTATAAAAAAGTCCTTTTTAAGTATTCATGTTTCTTCAACCACATATTACAAAGACAGAGTTACAGTGTCTGTGGAGAAAATAGGAAAATTACAACAAATTCCCTATTATTTCTTACTAATAAACCATTTAAACCATGATGTGAATAGCAAGGCAATTCATATGGCTGCTTCAATTTCATCAGAGTTTACAGCAACTCCATTTGGGGCGTCGTCGGATCGAAGCTGACCGGAAACATCATCAATAGCGGCGTTCAGCTGAGCAATCTTCTCTGTCAGTACCTTCCGTGTTTTCTACACAACAAAAGGCCACTCACTATTCTGCTTTTAAAGCTATAAAGTTTAAACAAAAGATAAATGCAGGTGCTTCAACTTCAAAGCATATAGTACTCAAGTCATTCCAATACTTAGAAGACGATAATTCTGAACAGAGTAAGTGCTCACCTCCAAAGCTTTTTCTTCATCGTATATGAATTTAGGCAGTTTCTTCATTAGGTCCTTACTATCAGCTACAGTTAGTGCCTTGCTGATCTACAGAAGGCAAACAACAGAATTATCTAAGTAGTAAGTTCCAAAAGAAATAGTCAAACACATAATAGTTCCCAGAGTTCCGGCTGTATGTTTTAGTCATAAAAAGTGGTAAAAAATCGGAATGATAAAGCTAGTTGATTATGAAACTATAGCTAAAGAGTGTAATCCTTTGACAAGTATATGAGGACATTTTCATCTGTCAAAATAAAAAAAAATATACAAAATGGAGTAATAGGGCCATTCGCAAGGTATTATTCACCTGAGGGGCAAATACACAACCAAGTGCACCAACCACGAGCCCTCCCAAAACAAAACCCCCAACAAAGGCGCTTGAACTGCTTGACCTTCCACCATCACTGTAAGAACATACAAAACAGACAACGTAGAAGAGGGAACAAAATACATATGCAACACACACAAACTTAAGTATTCACTTGCTAGTACTTCTTTCAGTAGCTCCTATGTAGAAGAATATGAACTGTTAGTCAAGTACTATCAAGCATTCCTTGGCTTCAAATTGTCCCAAAGGCGATACCTGTACGAAGCATGAACAGTGAGTGCCCTACTGGAGTTAGAAAGATGCAGTTTCCTTAAATTGTTAGAATTGAATGCCAAGTTGGGGCAGTTGGCACTCCCAAAGCTTTGCCACGCAGGCCTTGGATGAGAACCTAGCAAAACAAATTGTGCAGGGAAGGTAACGAACAACCTTTCAAATCTTTTAAAAACCAAATGGATAAACAATACCAAGACGATGATGCTCACATGGAACAGAAATTGGAGTTAATGTCAACTAATTGTAACATTTGAGTACCACAAAGAGCAAAGGTAAACAATCTTATGATCTCAAAGGATGAACAATACCAAGACGATGATGCTATGATCCGACAAATTTCCGAGATCAGAAATGTGAATTAATGTTAAACCCAGATTTTTGCCGCGAAAGACGTAATGTTCTGAACCATAATGATATCAAGTCTAACAATTAATTTCCCCCAAACTACTCCTAATTATTCCTAGCACTTGCAGTCAATACTACCTTAGATTTAATGGCGTGCCAAATAGATTTTTTCAAAGAATATGCTGAGAAATAACAAGTAAATCACAAACCATTTTTGTTGAAATAAGTCAGTAGCGATCTAAATATTGCAATCAGTGAAAAGAATTTGAAAAATAAAGGGGGTTGAAGTTGGAGCACACAACTAAATGCAAGCCTAATAAAATTTCTAAGTAAAAACCATCAATCATATTCAACTGCAGAAAAATATGCATTTAGCTAATTACTTTAGAATCAATAAAGTTTCAAAGGATGACTGTTCTCAGACCCATCAACAGATTCAACGCTGAGAAATTAATCCCATTACAAGGTGACAACGAGCATTAATTCATATGTTCCTATGATCCCCCCCCCCCCGCAATCATACTCCATTAAAAATAAAAGAAGTTAAAAAGATTGTATCAATTACAATGAATCCACAACAATAAAATTAAAAACTATATATATAAAGAGAGAAAAGAGAAAGGAAGAACGGAAATGTTACCAGAAAATAGTTGGGTTGGAGGATTTGTTGATGAAACCAAGGAATTTGAAAGTACAGACATTTTGCAAGAAATGAAAGGGGGACAGTTGAGCGTTCGAGGGAAACAAAATAAATAAATAAATCCAACCCAGTAGCCACTCCCTCCTGAGTTGACAGTGAGTGGGCGAGCGAGTTCGATGCTATCTATGCTGCCCTTGACAAACAGCCTCGAGCTTGCCGACCAAATTTCACCGTGGATCAGCAGCTCTCCTTTCGGCCCAAGCTCTTAACTTTTTAGATTGGACCGGTTTCTGCTAACCCTAAATTTTATTTTTTTGAATAAACCATAATAATTATTCCTTTTATTTTTAATCTATTTTATTTTAGTAGTTAACTTTTAAATGAATTTTGAATTATTTTTGAAAATTTTATAAATTTTTGAAAAAATTCAATTCAAGTCCAAAAATATTTTACCTTTATTATTATATCAAAATATAATTCAACATATAAGTATAACTATTTTATAATATATATATATATATATATATATATATATTATCAATTTAATAATTGATTTTGAATAAAGTAAGCAGCTTGGACTTGGAACTCCTAGCACCCAATCATTAGCTGCCAAGCATCAACTTGTACATTATTTGATCTGCCTCTCATTTCTCACTTCAATCCAACTGTCATACATTTCACGTACATTTCCATCTATTCCAAGTCTTGCAAAATCCTCTCCAAAACCTTGTCTTAATCATTACTAATGGACCTATCAAGAATCTCCCTCCGCGGTTTCCGCCTCTCCGACGTCGACGACTTCCTAAAATGGGCAAGCGACGACAAAGTAACCTAATATTTGAGATGGAACACCATTAATTCCAAGGAAGAGGCCTTGTCATATCTTGTGAACGTTGCCATACCCCAACCGTATCGTCGCTCCATTTATTTAGACGATCACTCGATCGGATACGTCTCGATCAAGCCAAGGCCGGGCAATGATAGAGCCAAAGCTCGCATTGGATATGCAGTGAGTGCCGAGTACTGGGGACAAGGGATCGCCTCGACCGCGCAGAGGATGGCTGTTTCCGATGTGTTCTCGGTGTTTGAAGGGTTGGTAAGGCTCGAAGCTTTGGTAGAGGTGGAAAACGTTGTTGAAAGTCAAGCAATGCACCAAATTAAAAGTTCAAAGTTTGGCAACCAACTTTGAAAAAATGGTTTTCAAAGTTTGGTAAATGTTTATTTGAAAATGGTTTTCAAAGTTTGGTAAATGTTTCTTTGAAAAATGGTTTTTCAAAGTTTGGTAGATGTTTGTTGAAATATTGTAATGGGATAATCATAATTAGTCATTAGACTTTAGGGTATTTACATGATTAAGTCCTTAAGTTTCAACTATAAATACCCTAGCTCATTTAGCTTCAAAACCATCCCAAAAATCATTTCTTTCTCCCAATACTATAGAGCTTTCTTGTGAGTAGTGAGTGTTTTGTAAACACTTGTAAATTTTCTCTCTTAGTAAAAGATCTACAGCAGTCCAGAGACGTAAGCACAATTGCCTGAACTCCGTTATCAATTTCGGGTATTATTTTTCTGCTTTCATTTCGCATTCTCACTAATCTGGTTATAAGAGAAATTACTTGTACTCGGTTTATTTCCTAACAATTGGCATCAGAGCTTTTAGTTGTGATTTTTGTCAATTTTTTTGCGAGGTTATTATTCATTACTATTCATGTGAATAGTAAATTTCATGAATAGTAAAAATTTTATCGGTGATACGAGTTTGTCGACGGAGGTGTTCTAATACACGGTGGTTCGCAAGAATTATCAGAAACGATCCAAACGAAACCAGATTCGAGTGGGAGCGATGGCTGCAGACGAAGGGAAGGTGAAAATTGAAAAGTTCAATGGTGCGGACTTTGGCTTTTGGAAGATGCAGATCAAATATTTTTGTACTAGAAAAATCTATATCAACCTCTCTCAGGAAAGCAACCAGAGGGTATGAAGAATGAAGATTGGGCTCTTCTCGACAGACAAGCCCTCGGAGTTATCCGATTGACGTTATCCCGCAATGTTGCTTTCAACATAGCAAAGGAAAAGACCACGACGTGTCTTATGGCAGCTCTCTCCAGTATGTATGAGAAGCCATCAGCCTCAAACAAAGTGCACTTGATGAGGCGATTATTCAATTTGCGGATGACGGAAGGGGCATCGATGGCACAACACCTAAATAAACTCAACACAATCACAATCCAGTTGAGTTTAGTGGAAATTGAATTCGATGATGAAGTTCGAGCTTTAATTCTCTTATCATCTCTACCAGACAGTTGGAATGCTACTGTTACAGCAGTTAGCAGCTCGTCGGGAAATAGTAAATTGAAATTCGACGATGTTCAAGATCTGGTACTGAGCGAAGAAATTCGATGGAGAGAATCGGGTAAAGCATCAACCTCCTCAGCCTTGCACACGGAGTTCAGAGGGAGAACTTCAGAAAGAAATTCAAATCGTGGCATATCGAAATCCAGAAGGGGCAAATCAAGAACATGAAAGAAAGATTTTACCTGTTATAATTGTGGCAAGAAGGGTCACTTTAAAAGAGATTGTCGAGCACTGAAGAAAGATACCGGTGCACATGAATCTGCCAACATGACAAAGGAGACAAGTGATGCCATGATTCTAAGCGTCAACACTCTGATTGAATCATGGATCTTGGATTCAGGGGCATCTTTCCATCCACCCCATGTCGAGAAATCATGGAGAACTATGTTAATGGTGATTTTGAGAATATACATCTAGCTGATGATGAAACCTTGAAGATCGTTGGAAAAGGAGACATCCGATTAAAGTTGCCAAACCAGACCACTTGGACGTTGAAAGGAGTGAGACATATTTCTGGCCTCAAAAGAAATTTGATTTCTGTAGGACAACTTGATGGAGAAGGATATAACACAACCTTTTCAGGCTGTGAATGAAGATTACCAAAGGAGCACTCGTCATTTCTCGTGGTAAGAAGACCGGTACTCTCTATGTAACCTCAAATTTAGAGAATATCATTGTAGTAGCAGATGCTGATGGAAAATCAAACCTATGGCACCAAAGGCTTGGCCATAAGAGCGAGAAATGGATGAAGACACTTTTGTAAAAGGGAAAGTTATCGGATCTAAAGAATGTAGATGTCGGACTATGCGAGGATTGCATCTTTGGCAAACAAAAGAAAGTCAGCTTTGCAAAGATTGGTAAGACACCCAAGGCTGAAAAGTTAGAGTTGGTTCATACTGATGTATGGGGACCATCTCTTACAGGCTCATTATATTATGTCACCTTCATCGATGATTCTACAAGGAAGGTGTGGGTTTATTTTTTGAAGAAGAAATCAGAAGTCTTTGATACCTTCAGAAAATGGAAGGCCATGGTGGAAAATGAGACTGGTTTGAAAGTCAAGCAGTTGAGGTCTGACAATGGAGGAGAGTACAAAAATAGAAGATTCAGAGATTTCTACGTAGATAATGAGATCAAGATAGAGACAACAGTTCCCATGACACAGCAGTATAATGGCGTAGCAGAGCGTATGAACAGAACTCTGAATGAACGTGCCAGAAGCATGAGGATACATGCCGGATTGCCCAAATATCTATGGGCTGAAGCTATCAACACTGTAGCTTACTTGATTAACCGTGGGCCCTCAGTTCCTTTGGATGGCAGAATACCAGATGAAGTTTGGAGAAAGAAAGAAATGAACCCTTCACACTTAAGAGTGTTTGGTTGTATTTCTTATGTACACATAGACTCTGCTGAAAGAAGTAAACTTGATGCTAAGTCCAACAAATGTGCCTTTGTTGGTTATGGCGGTGATGAGTTCGGTTACCGGTTTTGGGACTACTAAATCGGAAGATCATCAGAAGCAGAGATGTCATTTTCAATGAGAATGTGATGTACAAATACAGGTCAACCATAGAATCAAGTAGCTCCAATACTGAAGCTGAAACAAAGGAATTTGCTGAGTTCAAGGAGATTTCTGGAAATGATGTTCAGATCAGTCCTGAAGCAGTTCAAGAAGAACCAGTCACACCAGAACTGAAACGCTCCTCCAAAATTCTTAAACCAATCCAACGGTATTCTCCTTCTTTGCACTACTTGTTGCTGACTGACAATGGTGAACCAGAGTGCTATGATGAAGCAATGCAAGTGGAGGATTCAGTCAAGTGGGAGTCTTCCATGAAAGATGAGATGGACTCGCTTATGTCAAATCAGACGTGAGAATTAGCTAAATTACCACCAGGCAAGAAAGCGCTCCACAACAAGTGGATTTACAGGATCAAAAAAGAACACGATGGGAGCAAACACTACAAAGCAAGATTGGTTGTCAAAGGTTTTCAGCAAAATGAAGGTATTGACTACAATGAAATTTTCTCTCCAGTTGTAAAACTGTCTATAATCAGACTGGTGTTGAAAATTGTAGCTGCAGAAAATTTACATCTTGAGCAGTTAGATGTAAAAACAACTTTCCTTCATGGTGATTTGGAGGAAGAAATCTATATGAGGCAGCCAGAAGGCTTCATAGAGGCAGGAAACAAAAACCTGGTATGCAAGTTGAAGAAGAGCTTGTATGGTTTAAAACAAGCACTGTACAAGAAGTTCGATAGCTTTATGGGTAGCAATGGTTTTACCAGATGCCAAGCAGATCATTGTTGCTACATAAAGAGGTTCAACAATAGCTTCATTATTTTACTATTATACATTGATGACATGCTCGTTGCAGGCTCAGACATGCAAAAGATTATAAACTTGAAGCAAAAATTGTCGAAGCAGTTTGCTATGAAGGATCTGGGCGCTGTAAAGCAGATTCTTGGGATGAGGATCAAGAGAGACACAAAGTCGGGGACTTTGATATTATCACAGACTGAGTACATCAACAAAGTACTTTCTAGGTTTAACATGCAAGATGCTAAACCAGTAAGTACACCTTTAGGTGTTCATTTTAGACTCTCCAAAGAACAGTCACCAAAGACGGAGGAAGAACGTGCACACATGGTGAAGGTGTCGTATGCCTCAGCAATTGGAAGTCTGATGTGTGCCATGGTTTGTACCAGACCATATATTGCTCAAGCAGTGGGAGCTGTTAGCAGGTACATGAATAATCCGGGCAAGGTACACTGGAAAGCAGTCAAATGGATCCTCAAATATCTGCGGGGTACCACAAACAAAGCACTTTGTTTCAAAGGTGGAGATATGATACTGGCAGGCTATATAGATGCTGACTTAGCCGAAAATGTTGACATCAGAATGAGCACTACAGGGTATGTCTATACTCTAGGAGGAACCGCAGTGAGTTGGGTTTCTCAACTACAGAAGATAGTTGCTCTCTCCACAACTGAAGCAGAATATGTCGCTGTTATGGAAGCCAGCAAGGAGATAGTTTGGCTCCAAAGTTTCTTGGAAGAGTTAGGCAAGAAACAAGAAAACAATGTCTTGTATTGCGACAGTCAAAGTACTATACATATAGCAAAGAATCCGTCTTTTCATTTCAGGACGAAGCACATATAATTGAGATATCATTTTATCCGGTCTCTTCTGGAAGATGGGATTTTAAAGCTTGAAAAGATTAGTGGAGCTCAAAATCCGGCAGACATATTGACAAAGACGGTGACAACGGACAAACTGAAGTTGTGTTCAACTTCAGTTGGCATGCTGGAGTAACAGGACTAGAAATATTGCTGCATTGATCGAGGTGTGAAGACAGATTAAAATCAGTCTTCAAGTGGGAGATTGTCGAAAGTCAAGCAATGCACCAAATTAAAAGTTCAAAGTTTGGCAACTAACTTTGAAAAAATGGTTTTCAAAGTTTGGTAAATGTTTCTTTGAAAATGGTTTTCAAAGTTTGGTAAATGTTTCTTTGAAAAATGGTTTTTCAAAGTTTGGTAAATGTTTGTTGAAATATTGTAATGGGATAATCATAATTAGTCACTAGACTTTAGGGTATTTACATGATTAAGTCCTTAAGTTTCAACTATAAATACACTAGCTCATTTAGCTTCAAAACCATCCTAAAAATCATTTCTTTCTCCCAATACTAGAGAGCTTTCTTGTGAGTAGTGAGTGTTTTGTAAACACCTGTAAATTTTCTCTCTTAGTAAAAGATCTGCAGCAGTCCGAAGACGTAAGCACAATTGGCTGAACTCCGTTATCAATTTCGGGTATTATTTTCCGCTTTTATTTCGCATTCTCACTAATCTGGTTATAAGGGAAATTACTTGTACTCGGTTTATTTAAGGTCCCAAAGGGTGTTGGAGAAGGTTGGATTTGTTAAAGAAGGGGTGCTAAGGAAGTATGGATTTTGTAAAGGTGAAATCAGAGACATGATTATCTATAGCTTCTTATCCACAAATATGATTAAGTGATGGTCGTTCCAAACGGAGATTATGTACTTTGGGCCACCTATGTTATCCACGTATTTAATGTTCCAATGAGTGAGTTTTAATCGTATCATCTAAATATTACTCCATATTAAAAAAACCAATTAGACTTGAAAAAAAATAAATATTTAAATTATATTTTTTATTCGCTTATCGTTTTCAATGTTATTATTTAAAGTATTTATCAGTTAAAGATCTTTAAGCAATCATCAAACATTCAAAACATGAAACTAAATATATTTATAAAATTTTGAAATTTTATTTTAAAAAAAAACTTAAAATTATTATTATTTAAAAACATCTATTTTTTTCTAAAATCTAAAAAAACTCAAACTTATAAAAAGTTTAATTCCAAAATTTCATTATTATTGTTGGCCACCACCTAACGATAACCCACCAATCGTCGACTCTCAGTGATCGACCATATCTGTAACATCCTCAATATTGGGTTAGTGACCAAATTGAAATATTTCGGAATTTGGTGATTAAAGTAAAATAGTTCAATGACTTATTGGAAATATAGTTGAAGGTGGTTTGATAATTATTGAATGAATTAAAGGGTAAAATGGTCAATTGACAAGTAAGATTTTTATTTTCCTTTATAAGATAAGGGAACCACGTGGGAAGAGAGAAAATGTTCCAGAGTTCTCTTCTCTTCTTCCTTCTTCATACATGAAGCCTTGAACCAAAGGTGAGTCTTCTATTTAGATAATTTCTGGTTAAATTTAAGGTTGGGTTATGATCATTAGATGATAACTAAGCTTAAGTTATCTTAAAATCAAAACATAAAGGAGTTAGGGAGGATTAAAGATTTGGAGTTCTTGAGTGAAATATTGAAATAGAGTTTATAATAAGAATTGAAAGTTGAATTTGACTTGTCATCAATAAGAATAAGAGATTTATGAAGTTAGAAAGGATTAATAACAAAGTTAAAAGTTTAGCAAGATTCTTAATTTTAAGAATCATGATGAGTTATGGAATATAAAGATGGTTTATATGAATATAAGTTGGTTTAAGTAATGGTAGTTGAGTTTAATTACATGATAGGGGCTTAAAATAGAAGAATTGAGTGAAAAGTTGATGGTTTTCGGGCTTAAAATACAAATTCTGGGCAAGGTGTATCGATGCCCATTCAATATGTATCGATGCACTCTTTAAAGAAGAAACATCGAATGCAATTAGTGCATCGATGCATAAGGAGTGCATCGATATACCCCCTTAAAATGAAAACATCAAAGGTGATTGGTGTATCGATGCATGGATAGTGCATCGATGCACATGTTAAGAATGCATCTATGCACTGTAGAATGTATCGATGCACTTCAAAGGGGAAATAGAAATAGACCTTTCTTTTAGTCTAAGAAATGATAGATTATAGTATATCAATTAGATATTGATATATATCAATGTGTGATTATATAGATATCGAACATGAACAAGTTCCAGAATGATTATCAAGTTAAGATTCGATCGAAAAAGAGGAAATCATAAGTGGATTGGAACGTAGTGAGGCCAAGGTGAGTGCAATTTATTTTTATAAGATTATATGGAAATTGGACTTGTGATAAGTCTATTTCCTATAGTAATAGCTCATTAAGTCTTGATCATAAGTATGTTAACAACATGAAGGGTATGTATGTTTGATTATATGAATTGATATGTTTTTGTATGTGTTATGTGGTTTACGCAAAAACACTATTAGGTGTTAATGAGAGAATATAAAATAAGTTAAGAAATTATAGGAATATAGAAGATAAGTCAAGTGATATATGGAAATGGAAATAGATGTCTATGAAGAGTTATAGGAGAACAAATATAAGTCATATGATAATGAAATATAAGACTATGTGAATACATGGTTATGAGATAAAATATGGGATAATAGGAAAATATGATGAAAGTGAGTTCATGAGAAGTGTTAGGAACTAGGTAAACATGTGTAACAGTATATGCTTAATAGAAACATGAGTTGGACAAGTACATAGTGGTATGATCCATTATGAGAATTAGTATAATAGAGCTTTTTGATTTAATGAGAGTTAAGGGAACTAAATAAGATTGAATTATAGAATGAAATGAGAATAATATATCTATTAGGAAACTTTAATATAAAAATAATGATATGAATATATAAGATAAGTTAGTATATACATATATGATATATGTTATCGAGTAATATGAAAGGACTCGGAAAATTTATATAAGCTATGTGGAAGTGTTCTAGGTGTTTCTATGTGCTATATGAAGTATATATAATTATATGTGAACAAGATATGATATGTAGGTTTACATGAACATCTAAGAAATGATCTAAGCTATATGATATGATCTACGTGATTATATGCACTTTGGATATATGTTATATGACATGGATCTATGTGACTACGTGAGAAAGAATATAAGTTATGTGAGATGTAAATGTGAATTTTATGAAAATGTTCTACGCGTAAGTGAACTATGTGTATATATGAATATGTGAAATGACATAAATGATAATGCCCATGTTATGTGTCATGAGAGCTAGGGGTATAGTTGGCATGCCAAGAGTCGAGGGTCTGCGCGGTCCTTCGAGACATATATGTATTCTTTGGAACATGTATGAGGTCTTTTGAGACACCTACTTGATCATTGGTATATGTATATGATTCTTAAGGAATTTCTATATGGTCCTTATGGACATTACATGGCACTTTGGTGCATTTTTACGCGACACTTTGGTGCATTTACATGAGCTGTGGTGACAGCATTAGTGCACAACTTCTATAGACTCACATATCTATAGTTCTCACATGTGTACATAGGCTAATAAAGAGATAACAATAACCATATTACATGTAACTTATATGTTTTTGTGTTATGAATTGTATTACATGTTTTATATAATTATATTTGGATTGTATGAATGAATGAGTCATATGTTGGTTAAAATAATAGGTATAAGAGGATATGTTTAAGTGATATAAATGATAATAATATTGATAGTGAAATAAGGTTAATGATGGAAATGATGAGTGATGAGTATATGTGTGTATGTTTTTACATGTAATGATTTATTGTATAGGTGTTCTAGGTATTTGTTATATGAATAAGGATATGAGTGATATGATATGATAACAGTGATGGTTACGGCATTATTACAAGTTATAGTTTACATTATATGTTTAGTTGCATCACTAAGTCATAGACTTAGCGTGTGATTGTTTCACACGTAAGTTACAGAAGCGAGAAGAGAAGTGATGAAGAGCAAGACAGGTCAGCATCTCCCTTACAAAATTTCAGATCATAAAATAGATGATTTAAATGTGTTTGGTTAATTTGAATATAGTTGGCATGTACTAACTTATTGAGTTGAATATGCTCTGATCGATTTTGGTTATTTTGGTCAATTATGTAAATAAACCGCTTTTATTTTAATGAAAGTTTTAAATTTTCTATGAATTTTGTCAAGAGTCAAAGTTTGAAAAGTCAATGTGACATCTCAGACTCGTATTCGGGTCGGGTATGGGTTGGGAGTGTTACAATATCCCTTAACATCGCCCAATCCTCTAAATCTCTAAATTTGAGTCCTTTAATTCTTAATATCTGATCATCCTCGTGATTTGGGAAATAAAGATTTAAGAATTTCAAGTTTTGAGATGTAAGGATATAAGTTTAGAGTTTTGGGATATCGGGGTGACGATAAGAAGATGATTGATTAATGCATGAGTGGTGGTGGATGGGTGATCATTTAATAATGGTTAGTGACTACCGACAAGAGTAATACGTCTTTAAAATTATAAATTCAAGGGTTTGGGGATTTTTTTAGATTTTAGACAAATTTTGAGTTTTTTAAAATATATATATATATATATATATAATTTTTAATGAAATTAAAAAATTGTTAATTAAATTAATATTTGATTATTTATCATATTAATTTAATGGAACACTTAAATAATAATAATAACTTAATGGGTCGGTCAGAGGGCCCAACTTAGACTTGGGCAAAGAAATAAAATATCATTGTACCAGTGAGCTGATCCGGTCATATGTAGCAACAGAGATATGAATTTAAACATCAATACTACATTTAATCCCTCTAACCAAAGTAATAAAATAAAAATAGTGATGATGTTTTGTGTAGTTTATCCTTAATTATAAGAAAGAATGATAATAAAAATTCCTTTGGTCCATGTGCTCCAAACTGCCTTCGAGTGTAATGAAACTAAAAGAAAGATCCAGAAACATAAATCCAAATATTTCCAGCTCATTCATAAATATTATTGTAGATCAATCAACGATTGTTTATCACAGGGGCTAATTGCATAATTTAACCTTGAAAATATAATCTTCCGGTTGATCCAAAGATCTGTTTCTTTATATGACATTCTCCCCCTTGGACTGCATTGGCCGGCTTTCATTCTATATTGTCCTAAGCTACGGGAATTATTGTTGTTCACTAAGACGACCGGAACACATTGACCAACACCAACGTTTTACTTCTCCATTCGGCAAAAACCATGCAAATTATGACAAATCATTTGTTTATAGCTAGAGACCGTGTCTCGGATGAAAAAAAACAAGCTACCGGCCACTTGCATTTATAGGCTTCTTCCTTATTACATTCTTGTTAATTTTTTTTTTAATTTGCGAAAATGGCTGGTGATTACAGTAAGGAACGGTCGCTGGAGGAAACCCCGACATGGGCTGTTGCAGCCGTGTGCGCAATATTTGTGATCATTTCAATACTGATAGAACATGGAATTCATTCTCTGGGAAAGGTGGTTAAGGATTAATTACTTGATTGCAGTCGTCTAAACTAATGTCTATGCTAATGATGATTATAAACCTTGCAGTGGTTTCAAAAACGTCAGAAGAAAGCCATGATGGAAGCTTTGGAGAAGATCAAAGCCGGTTAGTCTTTTATTTTATTAATTTATGCGACTTAATCATATATGATACTTGTTGTTGATAAATTTTATTTGAGTTTGCAGAGCTGATGCTGCTGGGATTCATATCGTTGCTGCTAACTATCGGAACTTATTCGATTCCGGCGATATGTATCCCGGAGAAGATAGGGTATTCGATGCTTCCATGCAAACGGAAGTCTGTTTATGGTGGAGACAGTGATAAAGATAGCAAAAAAGGGGATGGCGAAGATGACCGCCGGAGGAAGTTACTTTCTGATGGTAAAGATATGGTTTGGCGTCGAGTCTTGGCCGGATCCGCATCAAAAGATTCTTGCAGTAAAGTATACATGCCGACTCCCTTTTTCATTTTTGCTTCATTCACTAGGCCGGCCATTTTTCGTATTTCAACTATAATAATTAGGACTTTGGATTTGATTGGATCAATTTGGTTGATTTTTTAAGGTTTTTGAACCGTTTATGATACTTCAGTTAGATTTTTTTATATTAATTTTAGATTTTGACTCTATAGACTTTATCTTAATAAATTAATTTTGGATTATGATTTTTTATATTATTTGGTAAATTTTGAAAATGTTTTTTTTTTTAAATTTAACTTTTAAGTAAATAAAATAGACGAGACGATTTTTAAAATAATTGCGTTTTACATTGTTGTTTCTAATAGAAATATAAAAGTAAGGCAATACACGTTTAGTACCTAAATTATTATTTATATTCCAGTTTGGTATTCAAACTTTATTTTTTTAAACTATATCTAACATTTAGTTTAAGTTTTAATTTGGTACATTACTGTTAAAAATTAACAGAACTACTGACATGCCATTATTTTTATTATTTCAATGATGACATGACATTAATTTATGGTGATACATCAACATCACAATTAAGTTTTTAACCATGTGTACCAAAATGAAACATAAACTAAACGTTATGTATGTTTTTGAAAAAAAAAAAATTTGAGTACCAAAACGGAACAAAAGTAATAGTTTAGGTACTAAACTTGTAGTTTATCTAATATTTTTATATGATAGAAAAATATATTAACTATAGATTGAATAAAAAGTGATTTCTAATTAAATTGAGATAATTATAAATTTTAAACTCTATTATTCAATTTAAATATTTTGATTTTTTCAGTTTCTTTACTCACCCTAATTAGAATTTAGGAGATTTAAACACATGATATTAGATTATTAATTACTCAAGTTTAAACAAATAAATTTGTGTTCATGTTTATTTATTTTATTTTAAATTTATTCATATTTAGTTCATATCCATGAATAATTTTATAATTCTATTTATGTTTATCAATTTAATATTCATAAACATACTCGTTTAATATGTTTACATGTTCACCAATAAATAAAAATTCATTCATAAATAATAAACTAACAAACCATAAATGAACATAGTTATAATTTTTTAATATAATCACACTATAAGAAAAATGAATAAATGTAAAAATATTTCAGTATCTTTTATAAAAACATTTTAAATTTAAATAAATAAATGTATTTGTTCATGAACGTAAATAAATTAATATATTTATGTCTAAATTCAGTTATTTAATAAATAAACATACAAATGTGATTTATATCCGTTTATTTAATCTAATTAGAATACAAAATATTAATAGCTTTTGAATAAGTACGTGTAATTTTCTTTTTGAGGGTAATAATTAAGTGTGATTAAAGTGTTTAATTGTTGTATGAAATTACAGGGTAAAGTTGCCCTGATTTCACAAAGCGGTATGCACGACTTGCACATATTCATATTTGCGCTTGCGGTTTTCCATGTCCTTTACAGCGTAGCCACCATTTTCCTTGCCAAGGCCAAAGTAAGTTTTCTTTTTCTTTTGCATTTTCCAGTATTGAGAATCAACTGGAACCGATTTGCTTCTGGGTAACAAAACTCATTATAGTTCCTGTTGATTGAATTCGGTTCAGATGAAGAAATGGGAGGCCTGGGAATCTGAAACCAAAACCCTCGAGTACCAGTACAATAATGGTATGTCTTCTTCGATTGACCTCGATTTCTGGGTAACCCTAATTCCTCATGTGGAAAAAGAGAATCCATGGGGATTGATATTGATGCTTGCATTTGAATTTTACCACGGCAGATCCTTCAAGGTTCAGATTAACGCATCAAACTTCCTTCGTGAAACGTCATTCTGGTTTCTCTGCAATTCCTGGCATCAAATGGATGGTAAGATCCAACCCAGTTCTTTCTAATTGAGTCGATGAATCATGTATTTGGCGAGTTAATAGTGAGCTGAGAAAGTAACGATCTTAAGATAATTTGCAGGTGGCCTTCTTCAGGCAATTCTTTGGTTCGGTGAGCAAGGTGGATTATTTGACCATGCGCAACGGATTTATCAACGTAAGTAATTATTAACGTAGTTATTATTATTATTATTATTATGATTTTTATATATTTAATAGTATTTAAATAAAATAATTACAAATTATAATTTTATATATTCAATAATTAAATACGAGACTAATAAAAATGTGTACAAATCTTTAGTATAAGATATATATTTAATAAAAATAATTTAATTGATAATTTTATAAATATTTTTTTATCATAAAATATTTTATTCCACCAACGTCATTAATACAACATAATTCAATTATTATTGGTACAACATCTTATTTTATTAGTAGTTTCCTTCACTAATTACTCTAATTATAAAGAATTAATGACAAACGCAGGCACATTTTGCAGCCAACACAAGATTTGACTTCCATAAATACATCAAAAGATCCATGGAAGACGACTTCAAAGTCGTAGTTGGAATCAGGTCTGTTTTAAAGTATTTAAGTTAATTATTTGATGTTAAATATTATTCATTAATACTAGAGTTAATTGCATATTATGTTTTTAAATTATAATTTTAAATTGATGGTTCTTATTTTAAATTGATCTCTGAATTTTTAAATATTTTAATTTTACTTTTAAATTACTTTTTATTCTAAATTAATCCACAAATTATAATCTTCAATTTAAATTAATCATCAATTTTTTAATATTAATCTAATTTTATCTTAAACTATCGGTATGTGTTAACCATAATTCTTATTAATAAAACCGTTAAAAATTATTAATCGCCGTATAAATATTAATATATATTATATAATAATATGGTATAAATATTGATGTGTATTATTATGTAATAATAATATATAACTTTTGGGTTTTTTCCTTTTGCAGTACTCCTCTATGGGGTTTGGCTGTCATCTTCTTACTTCTAAACGTTTACAGTTAATAATTCCATCCCCTTTCTCTTTTATTACGATATTGTTACTCAATTAAGTAGTAAAAATATTAGTATTTATTATTTATAATATATTATATATACATGGTGCAGAATGGCAAACTCTCAGCTGGCTGTCATTGGTCCCCTTGACGGTAGGACACATCCTTAATTAATTTTATATTTTTAATTATCTATATAATCTTTGAAAATAAGATTAATATATAATAATCTATCAATATTGTACATTTCGAGATGAAATTTATTCTGTCCATAAATCATAAAAAAATACACCCATCGAATATAAATAGAGTTAATGTCGGTAATCTCTGTGCAGATACTTTTGTTAGTGGGAACAAAGCTAGAGGTGATCATAATGGATATGGCGGAAGAAATCCAAGACCGGAGTGCGGTGGTGAGAGGGGCGCCGGTGGTGGAGCCTAATAACAAGTATTTCTGGTTTAATCGACCGCAGTGGATTCTCTTCTTGATACATTATACCCTGTTCCAGGTAATTAATTAACCGAGGATTATTATTTGAAAATTTGTTTTATTAATTACATTTGACATATATATATATATATATATATATTCATGCAGAATGCGTTCCAAATGGCGTATTTCCTATGGGTTTGGGTAAGTAATTAAGAGAATGATTAATTAACTCATGTTTTGTTGAAAGAAATCAATTAACATGTATTCATATACTTATGGTACAGTTTAAGTACAGCATAGGGTCATGTATCCATGAGAAATTGTACTTCGTAATCGGAAGGGTTCTTCTTGGGGTGTGCCTTCAAATTCTATGCAGCTACATTACCTTTCCACTCTATGCTTTGGTGACCCAGGTCAGTGATCATTTCGGGTTTAAATTATTTTTTAATTCGATTTAATACAGTAAGTAGTCGGTAACTGTATACGACATTACTCGCGATTTTGTTAAATTTGTCTATATTGTATTTGGTTTTAATGCAGATGGGATCTCACATGAAGAAATCAATATTCGAGGAGCAAACAGCCAAAGCTCTAAAAAATTGGCACAGGGCTGCCAAGAAGAGAAACAAGAACAAAGCAAGAGGGGAAGGATCCGTTGGGTTGAACAGCCATGCCTCGCCGTCAATGAGCGGTGACACCACGCCGAGCCGAGGAGCATCGCCGTTACACTTGTTACACAATCACAAACATCGGTCCACTGCCGGTGATCAAACGGACGGTGTTCTCAATTCTCCCACACATTCCAACTATTCTTACCCCTCCGATACGGAAATTTCTGATATTGAGGCTTTTTCTCCTCCTCCTCGACATGCAACCCCACCGCTTGATCATCATCATCAACAACGTAATGTTGATTTTTCATTTGTCAAGCCTTGATCTTTAATTCACTGGTTTCATTGTAATCCAAAAGAAATATTAAAATTGCTTGATTAATTTGTGTACTGGTATTCCATTCAATTGGTAGAGGAGTAGTTTAACAACTCAAGTACTGATTATCAATATGAAAGATTTAATTTTGTTTAGGATTACTCACACAGTTTATGTTTGGTACAGTACACTCATAGTACTATTTTATATTTACTTGTTAATGTTTTCTTTATATGACAGATAAAAGGGTAAATTACAAAGTACATCACTCAACATTTTTTACTTCTATTTTGATCACTAAAGTTTAGAAATTTACAGTTTATTCGTTTAATTTTCAATTTGCTCTTATTTTGGTCACTATATTTATTAATTATTAATGGTTATGACCGACTGTTTTTTATTTTTTTACTTTTGAAAATTATAAAATAGCCCTAAAAGTTCATTTTTTTTCTTTAATGATGGAATATCTTCTTGTAGATCCTAGCGGTGGAGAGGAGGAGGAGGAGGAGAATGAAGCAAGCTATATATTTTGATTTCACATTGATCGGACTAGGGCTGTAAATGAGACGAGACAGATCGCGAGCTACTCGAGATTGACTCGATCAAGGCTCGATAAATACTCGGATCGAATGGACTCGACTCGAGCTCGACTCGAGTTCTTAACGAGCCGAAACGAGCTACTCGATATTCGACTCGAAAAGCTCGTGAGCAGCTCGAAAATATAATATATTAAGATTTTATTTTTTAGAAATAAATTATTAATAATATTAATATTTATGTATTGATTTTTTTATAAAAAAAAATACATTAAGATTTCTTGTATTTAAGGTTCATGTTCGAGTTTGAGGCTTCAATCGAGTTAAGTTTAATAATTGTTTTTCATTTCGAGCCTTTTCGAGCTGCTCACGAGCTTCAGTTTGGGATTTCGAGTTCGAGTCGAGTTTGAAAATTTTAAGCTCGCGAGTTTTCGAGTCGAGTCGAGCTTCATTTCAAAGTTTTCGAGTCGAGTCGAGCTCAGCAATACTCGAGCTCGATTCGGCTCGTTTACACCCCTAGATCGGACAATGAAAATTGTAGATCAAAGAGGTTTGAGATTTTCATAAGTTTTAAAGTGATTTTGAGAAAATCAAAATTGATAGAATGGTAAAAGACGATGAGGTGAGTTCATCGATATCTTGAGTGATTGAAAAAGAAACTAAAGAATAGTGTTCAACATCCAAGTAATACAAAGATTAAACTATAAAACTTTCATATTTAGAGGAAGAAGATGAACTCAAATAATTAAGGAAAATGAAATGGATGACACTTGGATGCCATGTCAATAAAAAACAGTCACTATTAGCACCTGTGAGGGTCATGTTACTCTTTCGTTTCTGATTTAACACTTAAGTGAGCAAAATATGAGCAAATCGAAAATTTAATGAAGAAATTAAAACAAATTAAGCTTTAGTATCCAAAATAGGAGAGATAATAAAATTGAGTGATGGAATTTGTAATTTACCCTAGACAAAATCATATATACCATGATTATCAAAACCGGACCGGACCGGCCGGTTCAACCGATTGAACCGGGAACCAGTTGCCTGTCCAATCCAGTCAGCTTCTAAAACCAGTTTTGCAATGAACCGATTGAAAACCGATAGAATCGACTGAGAACCGGTAAAACCGATGTGAACCGGTTGAAAACTGGAAAAACTGGTGTGAACCGTCGGTTCTATTTAAAAAAAAATTAAACCAAACGACGTTATTTGTTAAACGAGCCGAGTCGAACTCGAGTATTGCTAAGCTCAATTCAAACTCGAAAACTTTAAAAGTAAACTCAACTCGACTCAAAAACTCGCGAACTAAAAATTATCAAGCTCAACTCGAACTCGAAATATAATATTGAAACTCGAACTCGAAAAGGCTCAAACTCAAAAAAAAAATTCAGAAGCTCGATTGAAGCCTGAAACTCAAGCTCGATTGAAGCGAAAGAATAGTTCGCTCTGTGCTCACTAGACTTCGTGATTTTGAATGCCAAATTACCTCTATAATTTATAGAAGTCAGTTGGGATGTTCTTCTATGTTTCTTAGCCATGTGGGATTGTTTTGTTCTCCTATTTTTACTCTTTAGACTTTTGGGATGCTCATCTATGTTTCTTAGCCATGTGAGATTGTTTTGTTCTCTTATTTTTGCTCTTCTATGCTCTTTAGATCTTTTTCTGTAGTGCTGTATATATTAATATTGTTTTGAATATTATGTAAAATTTTAAAAAAATATTATTTTATTTAAATCGGTTCAATCTGGTTGAACCAGTAAACTAGTACCTTCACCTGTTTAAGGTCCGGTCCGGTTTTAAAAACATTGATATATACTGGCGTAGGCAAGGGTATAAAGGTAATTGGACGACGAAAGTGGATTGGATAGAGAGTGGACGGGTTTCGTTTCCAAGTCGTAATGAACACGAAGATAAAAGCAGCGATGCATCGGCAAGAATTGTACAGAGATGGAACCTTCCCTCCCACAAAATAATCTGTTCAAAATGCAGCCCAAACCAAAAGCAAAACACCAACCAGCTCGTTTTATCACAACCCATTTCCAGAAGGTACGCCATATTCCTCTCTTCGGTGTCCACTTTCACTCTCATTTCACTTCCCCGATTCTCCGAGGCCACGGCCAGAGAGACGCAACAAGAAGAAAATCCCCATTGAAGACTATATCACTACCCGTTAGTTTCTGCTTTTCCCAATCCTTTTGCTTTTCTTTCAACAATTAATGTCCGTTTTGCTTTTTGTTTTGTTGAAACCAACAGCTGAAGGGTTGAAATACTATGATATTGAGGAAGGGAAGGGTCCAGTTGCTGAAAAAGGGTCAACTATACAGGTCTCTTAATTTGTAATGATTTCATTACATATTCATGGATTCGTGTTTTTACCCCTTTTCATGCTTTTTTGTATGTTTTTTCAGGTGCACTTTGACTGCATATATCGTGGTATTACAGCTGTTTCAAGTCGAGAGTCTAAACTTCTGGCTGGGAATCGCATCATTGCCCAGGTTATATAGCTTTTGCTTGTGTGTTTCTGGGTCTGGGTCTAATTTTCTTGAAGCATGTTGAGGTCATGTCAGGATTGTCGAAAGATTTTATGTCCGTAGTGAATTATAAAATTTTAGGGACAAAATTATTCATCAATATAAATTATAAAGAATGTAACTAACTTATCTGAAACTTTAAAAATTCCAGGGCGGTCCCACCCTCCTTCGGTTTATCCTTGGTCCTGTCATTTAGACAGGAAAGCCGATCGATCGGCATTGTCCCTGTGTCGGAGTTTTGGCTCCCATGCTCACCTGGAGGCTGAAAGTCGTGGACCGTCCTGGCTTGGATGAAGTCACATGAACAAATGTGAGCGTTTGCGGATGGTGTCTTGGACCCTGACATATAAGTGGTACCCGTGACCTATATAAGATAGGTCGATGGTTCAAGCCCCGTGTGTAAATGCTCACTTTGTGCACAAGCCTCTATTCAATGTGCTTCCAGTAGAGTATGGGAGACAAAACCCCGATACTAGGACAATACTGATTGTTGATATTCGGTTGGCTGCTTGACGAACAATACTTCACAGATTTCTCCCAAAGGAATCAAAAGCTTCCTCAACAAAGCAAAACATAATGGTCTAATACCGGTGTTATCTTTGACTCAGCCGTACGAATTCAAGGTAGGGGCTACTCCTGGGAAAGAAAGGAAACGAGATTTTGTAGACAACCCAAATGGTATGTTTTCAGCACAAGCGGCACCAAAGCCTCCACCAGCTATGTATTTGATCACGGAAGGAATGAAACTGGGGGGAAAGGTTAGCTTAAAGCATTCTCTTTCGTTATTGCCTTAGGAGTTTCACTCTCTATTGATCATCATCTCATGGTTTTACCTTAATTATTTCAGAGGACTTTCATTGTTCCTCCGGAGGCTGGCTATGGGCAGAAAGGAATGAACGAGATCCCGGTCATGTCCTAATTTTTTATGCAATTTTGTTATATTGGTGAGGCTTGCTAATTATTTATAGCTTTTTCTGGGGACAGGCTTAAATCTAACCATATATGTGCAGGATACGTACTCATATCCAACACTCTCACCGGAATCTTATGCTCCAGTAACATAGGGTAGTTTTGTAAAAAAATGTAGTTAATAGAAGTTAAAATAAACAGGCAGATCTGATTGTAGTGAATCATTCCTGCCTCATTTATCAATTCTGCTTTCCTTTTGCTTAGAAACAAAACCCAAGTCCACATCTGTTTTATAAAAACACCAAACTAAAATCATTCATATTTTTCTGGGTGCAGCCAGGAGCAGAATTCGAGCTAAATATCAAGCTTTTGCGAGTGATGCCACCCCAAGAAAATTGAAGCCCACTCTGCTGCGTTGCCATTTACCATTGATCAGCACATTAGCCTTTACGTACCAATTGCCCCTATTCATGAGTGAGCTAAATTATTTCAGCAAATTAAACCATGTGGATTCATCTATCATGTTTGTTTTAACATCTTAATAATTATTGTGTAAATTTTGACAAAATCGTATATTCATATTAATTTTTGTACCAAATCGCATTTTGCATTAAATTTTATTGTGTCCTTTGTAGTGTAAGAGTAATGTAACTGCAGATTCTTGCATTGTGTGTAAAAGGCATGCAGATTAAGGAAGAAACAAGGTTCAACAAAGAAACAACGAAAGGAAAACAGTGGAACTGAGTGGTGCAACTTGGACCAAAATTTTATCCCCGCTTTATATTTCATCAATGATCTGCAGAAGATCATCAACATCCTGCTTCAATGCAGTAATCTTCTGTTGCAGTAACGCTACCCGGCTATTGATATCCCGGGGCCCCGACTTCTTCTCGTAGCCCTCCACCGCTGTAGTGTGCTTCTGCATCAACTTCTCTTGCAACTCTCTCTCCTTAGCCACCAGCTCCTCCACCTATACAGGCATCCACAGCGATCATATTATTTCGGTCATGTAGGGTCGAGTTACAACGAAAATGTTGTCACTTATCAAGGGCTTAACAAACTTCATAAAAAATAAGATGTTTCCACAAATCACAGATCTAAATATGCGACAAGCTGATGTCGAATTGATCTCGAAAAGTTGATCTAGAAAAGCAAGGTGAAGGGTGCACACCTTGGGAAATATTTGAGCAGCCGATGAATAAGCTTGCAAGGATGTCAGCAAGGGTTTCATTTCTTTTGATAGCTCTTTCAACGAGCCATCGGCAGATTTCCGAGCAGCTTTACAAGCTTGAACGTCTCCAGTCCTAAAAAGTTCACGAAGCGATGCTTCCAGATTATCGTGTGTTGTCAAGCACCGGCCTATGATCTCCTGAACCTTGTGTATCAGTACCCGAACCTAAAATTGCAGAAAGCAAAGACCTTAACCAATGTATTTGTCCACGGTGATTTGGCTGAACCAAGTAAATGGCGTAGTGAAATCCTACTCACCTCTTCCCACTGCTGTTTAGCCAAATAAGAAGCAGAATATTTGGAGATTGATGTGTCGGCACGCATATAAACAATGCAAGCAGCAAAAAAGAATATAAATCCTGAAATTAACATTAGTGGCTCTCTAAACATCGATAGAGAGTTGAATTTGTAAAAGACCTGTAAAATAAACAAACACAAGAACAAACAGTAAACCATTAAAATACAAAACCCTGTAAAATATTTTGTCTGGAGGCACCAAAATGGAGACATCAACCTAATGTGCTAGGTCCAGTTTGTTGCAAGGCATTTCGATTGAAAATGGACAACGGAAGAATACCTGAAAATATTGATTGTGCTCTGGCACAACATTAGTCTTTTTCAGCACAACTACTGGTCTACCTCCAATATCCAAGTGGGAGATTTTGGTCTGCATCCAATCATAAGCATGTTATATATAAAAGACGACAAACTTCAGATTCTAAGTTCAACGCAAATAGGGGTGATCATTAGATTCAGTCGAGTAATTTTTTTTGAATTAGTCGAGTTGACAAGTTATACTTTATAACTCAAATTTTATTTGAAAATTTTCTAGTCGAATTGAATTGTTAGAGTTTATAAAATTATGAGTTGAATTAAATCAAATACAATAAAAAAATCGATTTTTTCAAGTCAGTTTTGCTCACCCCTAAATTACACAAGCTGTAGGTTATAAAATAAATGGTCAGATACAAACAAAAAACATAAACCTTCTCATACCTCTTGCCACTGCTTTATGGGAAATGGAGTTGCTGCGGATATGTCACTAGAACCCTCAGGCAACACCACCTGTAAAAATCAAAGTGCGGGGTCAAAGAAAGGCTGCTAGGAAAACAACTTCCTTTTTATCCACCAGACTGCAATTTCTATATCACACATGCAAATATCTTAATTCCAATGACCATAATACAACTGAAGCATAAGTGCCAATTTGAGTACCTGGTGGAATAACAGTTGTAATACTTGCTCAATTCTAAATAAAAGTTTTAGGCAAGATTGGGACACCCCATCATTTCTTTGCACCACAATTCTGAGGCCTAGAGAAAGATATATAGATCAGGATACTGACATACTACCTACCTTCACAATGAGAGTATCAATAACCAACTCGATCATTGGAGTACTGAATGTTATGTTAAGAAATCGATTCCCCTCTGATTCATACAGAAAGTCCTGAAGCGGCAAACCATATCCAATGGTGAAAGCAGTTCTCCAGCCACCAAGCATGGGATACCTTGGCTCAATCACTAGTTCAGTCTGCAGTAACACATGGCACTTCATTCAAAATAAAATACCAGGTCATAGATATTATTTAAATCTTAATCTGCGATATAACCTTTCTGGAGTCACCCCGCAAATGAGATGTAGATATATTGCCAATTAGATCCCTGTAGTAAACAGAATGAGCCCTTGCTGGCAAATGTGCAACAAGAAGGCTAAAGGCTGAAGCACCTTGATCGTTTGGTCTGGCCTGGAAATCAAGCCTGTGGCGTCAAGGCAGTTAGTCAGAAACGAAACGAAACTCTAGCCTGGACTGGCACTCACCGTAAATTGTACAGGAAAACTTATGAAAACGCCAACCTGGAAAATTCACCCTTGCTTTTCGCGCCACCATGGATGAGCTTGTAATGCTCGTTGACCTGTACATTACCCCAGTGGGATATTTCTATTTCTCTCACCAATTCCTCAGCAACAGCAAAGGGTAGATTGCTTTCGAAATGAAAAGCTATAGGCGAGTGTGAGAATGGGGGGAGATTCTCATAAGGACCGTATTTGATATCTGAACCATGAACCTTTATGTTCTCCAGTTTTGTATAGGATTCAATTTTAGTATCAGGTAGTTTAACGCTTAGAGACTGGACCTTTACTTCATAAGGAGACAAATAATATACACTATCATTGTACAATACAAGCTGAGCATCGGCCTGAGTGATTTGCTCGGGAGCGGGCCGCAAGGCATGCGTAAATATGGTCAAGACATCGAGAGTGAAGCTATCGTCCGCAGCTAATTCCTTAGGCAATGATACCGAATAGAATGTCACAGTAGAAGGCCTATCATTCAGGTTGACGGCCTTAATAGGGAGAGCAACAACCGAGCCTTTGGCTTTCCCTTTCGTTTCGTGTGAGGAAGCCATCAAATACGCCAAATTTCTTACTTGATGCTCAGGAAAAGCCAACAAAACCTGAGACATGATCAGAGGGCCTGGATTCTCCACCTAGAGACAATATAACAGCACACGTAAAAGAAGCAAAATATTTAAAACAATAGTGATTTGAATAATGTATCAAGATTCAAAAGAGATGCTAAAGTATTAAGGAAGAACCTTTAAAGTTGATAAAATCCGAACAATTTGTGACGTTAAATAAATCTGCAACACCGTTAGCACAAAGAATTACAGTTAGAAACGATCCGAGAGACAGAGCTACCGCAGCATTTCAGAGAAACGAATTCAAATAATCATCATGAATCCTAGAAAGCTAGATAATAGAAAATGAACAGGGGAAATGAAAATTGAATTGAGAAGTTGGAAACTCACGCGTCGATCGACTTTGGTGAGGATCGGATCGGAGAATGCCGTAGATGCCGCCATTGCGATCGAAAACACAACAAGTGAAAAATATCTAGAAATCGCCATTGTCGACCAATCTCTGGCACACCAGAATCACTTTCGATATTTATGCTCGTTCGTTTTCGTATTGAGTCTCTTTCATCTTTGAGTTTGAAAGTTTCAGAAATGAAATTGAAGTAGTTAGAAAATGGATTTCGGTATATTAGCCCACTGCGAATTCATCCAAGTCCAGTTCAATCCATATCAAGCTTTTGGAATTATTAGGCCTTGGACCATTAGCCTTCTCTCTGTTAAAAATAATCATTATATTATGGGATAAGTCAACTTTTGGTCCCTGAACTTAACAATATATTCCAAAATAGTCCTTAAAGTTTTAACATGCATCTCTAAACCAAATAAGGTATTATAAATGCCTATTATTAGCTGACCCTTTGAATCTATTTTTTTTACATTCACAATATCATGACTAAACGGTTAACTTAAAAATTTTAATGTTTCGTCACACTAAATCAATTAATTACTGGTATAATTTATAAATATTTTAGGTTAATATTTTAACTATAAAATATTAGGTCAAACTTAATGGATTGGATGAAATTAACAATCCGCATTCGCAATGCGATTATTATAACAACATTGGGATAACTATGATGAGTAAACACCATTTTCTCTATACCTGAATTAAAATATTGGCGGTCCACTGTTTTCCCCCAATGTTGGTGGTGAGCGGTGCGTTTTGGTCAATAAAGTTGGACCTATATTATATAGATATATAAAATATACCTATCTATAAATTCCTTCAATTAACTGACCAAAAGAGCATCAACCTTCAATCATTATTTTATTTCATTTTGTTGACAACAAATATTCCTCCAAACCACCTTCTATTTTTTTAAAATAAACTAATTAACGCATATGAATAAACTTAATCTGGTTTTAAAATGCACCATTGATAGTGGCACCCATTTGTATATTAAAAAAGGGTGGATGAAAATTCTTCAATCAACCCATTTCCCATTTTATAATAAGAAAACATAGAAGATAAATATAAATAAGAGTTAGAGTCTAATTATTAAATGATTAATTTAAAACTTAAAATTAGGCGTCATAATAATTTGCTTCGTTTTAAAATTTGATAGGAGTTGAAAAATATTTAAATTAAAAATGATAAATTATGATTTGATTCATCTACTTTTAAAATTAGAAGGACTTCAAAGTAATTTAACCAGAAAACTAAATAACCAATACTTAATTTACTTAATTTTAAAATTAAAAGGACCAAATAAAAGAAATCCAAAATATTAGGCACTACATTTGGCTCCTTCACTAAACAATTTCCCTTTAAAGTACTTTCTTGTAATATAATGATACATTTAATATTTAATATATATTTTATCAATTTTTATGAAATAATGTGACAATTCATATATATTTTATTATTAATATTATGTCAGTATATCGTTTTGAAAATATAAAAATATAAATTTTAAAATATTATAGTAACTTATTATAAAATAATATAAGATAACATAAATATAATATAAATAAAATAATATTGCATTCATAATACAATTAAAATTTCAGGTTTAACACCATCAACAGAATAAACAACTAACATAAAAAAATTCAGATTTTCATTCTCTTACATCTGTCACTAAGGGCACGTTATCAATAGTCAATAAGTTAAAAAAATTATAAACATATACTACCTTTTAATCACCCAAATTATTCATATGTAGATAGATAATATGATTATAATTTTCATTAAAATTACATTAACTTAGTTAAAATTTTAGAGGTCACATTTAACTTTACAAGTTAAATATCAAATTAACAAAATATAAACATGGAGGAGGGTTGATTTATTATTATGCCATTTCATGCCTTTGATGTTTACCCGCTTTTACCGTTCTAACTACATCAATGGTATATAAAAAAGTATGTAACGATTTTCCGCTAAACTTGTCGTCTGTGAAACTCTCGTTAATTGATAATATTTTTAAATTTTAATATCCTAATTTAATTTTCTTAATTCTATTTTTATTATAATGCAAGCTAGTAGCTACACCAACATTGTTACAAATTTACTTATTTGTGGAAAATTTAATATATATCTTATTAAATATATAAAGCAATCCTTATACTATTACTATTTTAAATAATGATGAGTCTATTGTGCACGTCATATACCATTAATGCAAAATACTAAAAAATACCACTAAATAAATTGTCTTTATCAAATAAATATTAAAAGATTCAAGGACGGTTTCATGATTAATCCACTAATTATATATGATAAAATTTTAAATAGTCACTAAATTATGTTAAAATAATCTTTTTAGATATTAAACTTTCAAAAGTTATAAATGAATATTAAACTTTTTTTTTATAAAATAGATACAACAACTTTAACCGTCATAAATTAATAAAATAATTTCATTTACCCTCAATTATAAATAAAATTTCATTTTTGATAGTTTTTTAAATTTTCTAAACAATGATTACAAATTTTTTTTAAAAAAATATAAAAATTCATAATTTATTTTTAAAATTATAAATTTATGAATTTGTTAATTTCTGTGATAAGTACAAGATAATTCTATTCACAAATAACTCTCAACCATTTGACATAGAACGCTCGTACCTCCGGCATTGCTAGTGCTCGAACCCGGAACCTAAAAAAATAACAACAATTCTTTTACCATCAAAATCACTAGGGTTCGTGCAACTTTATTGTAGTTTAATGATCATATCTATTAAAAAATAACTCTCTACCATTTGACAGAGAATGCTTGTACCTCTTGCATTGCTAGTGCTCAAACTCGGAACCTCAATAAATACCAACAATTTCTTTACCATCGAAATCACTGAGATTCGTACAACTTTATTGTAGTTTAATGATCATTTATAATTTTATCTAATTGTATTTTAATTAATAGTGTATTTTGATATTTCATTTTAATAATATATTTCGGTATACGAGTTCAGGGTAGAATTTTCCTTTAAAGAACGGCACGTCATTTTATTGTTAAATACATATTCTTTTTCGGGGAAAATACTTATCTAAAATAGTTTCCATATCTAAAACGTTTCCGCAGTCGTCGTTGAGTTAAATTTGATTTTAAAAAGGGAGACAAATCAATTAACTTTTTTATCGGGTAAACATACATTTCAGTATGGAATTTGGTACTTAGAGTATTTTTTTTAATTCAATTAGATATCTAAATCTAATTTCTTTTGTTTAAATAGATATCTAAATTTTACAAAAATATAAATATTTTATTTCAAAAGTAATAATTAATTAGATAAAAAAATCAAAAGCATGAAATTGAACAAAAAAAAGTTTAAATCCATTTGAAGTAATAAGAAAATTTCAAGTATTTAATAGGACAAAAAATCCCATAAATATCACACTGAATCAAAAGGCCAATCTCGAGTACCGATTTGAACATAAAAGCAAGTCGGGGTACTTAATTAGAATAAAAAAACTTCAAGTATCACATTGAATATTAATTCTAAGTTTAGGTACTAAAACATATATTTACCCTTGTATTTTACCTAGTAAAATGTTGTTGAAGTTGGTCAATCTATTGATTGATTGGAAGCTGCTAGAATATTTCGAGACGTGAGCTTGAAATTGTTCGAGCAAAAATGTTGAAATTTTGTTGTTCATCCAAAAATAATTGTGAAGAAAAATATAAATCAATCAAATTATCGAATAAATTCAGCTTCGGTTATTTTATGATTAGATGGATTAATTCAAAAAAAAATGGAAAATCCCCCAATTCAATTTTTGCGGTTTTTAAGTCATAGGAAAGGTGTTTCAAAAGAACATGACAAATTAGAGTATAAAATCATAACGTAGATCTACATACAAATATACAATTTAATTGGTGAGATAAAAAGAATAAAATTTAAAATAAACTTTTAATATTTTTAATTAATAATTATAAAATAATATTTATTCAGAAAATTATAAATCATTTAATAATAAACTTTCAAATATCATTTAAACATTATCATGTTCAAACCTAAAATAACAATCATCAATTGATCACTAAAATTATTTAGTTCATGCGTTAATATAGATTTTGATTGTTGATTTATGCATCTAGAGTAATTAATGTATACCTAATTTATTTGGGAGGAAAAATCTTCATAAGATTTTAATTGATATTTAAATTTAATTATTTTATAATTTAGATATAAATATCAAATAATAATCCACTAACAAATAAAAAAGTATTAAGGATATATAATTAATTAAATCACAGGAAAGAAAAGGAGAGGTGGGGGATTTATTTATTAATTAATTATCTATAAAATCATTACATACACGGGAAAAAGGTTAGAACCAACACAAGGCCAACGCAGTCTTTTGCACACTTTCATCTACAATTTACAAACTTTAACCAAAGCTCTCTCTTGCTCTTCACATGACTCGTGCTTTCAGGCTCCTCGGCGCCGCCAACTCCTCGGCCACTTCCGAGCCGCCTCCCGAACAAACGGCCGCCGTCGACTCCGACTTCGTCGTCATCCTCGCTGCTCTCCTATGCGCCCTTATTTGCGTCCTCGGTCTCATTGCCGTCGCCCGCTGTGCCTGGCTTCGCCGACTCTCCGGCGGAGGTCCTGCTTCCAATCCCCCGGCTTCTTCCCGTCCGGCGCCTCCTGCGAACAAAGGCCTCAAGAAGAAGATCCTCAAGTCCCTTCCTAAAGACACCTTCTCAGCTGATTTCTCCGCCAAATTCTCCGATTGTGCGATTTGCCTGACAGAGTTCGTCGCCGGGGACGAAATCCGGGTTCTCCCGCAGTGCGGCCACGGTTTCCACGTCGCCTGCATCGACACGTGGCTGGGTTCCCATTCTTCCTGCCCTTCTTGCCGCCAGATTCTCGTAGTCGCCAGGTGCCACAAGTGCGGGGGTTTTCCCGGACCTGGCGCTTCGACTTCCGGAACCGACTCCGAGGCTAGATTGAAAGAGCGTGAGGATGATGTCCACAGGTTCCTACCCTAGCCAAAGCTAGTCAGTGTGTCTCAAGGATTCCTCGATTTTTTTCCCTTTCTTTTCCAAGTTTAAGTATGTTTAGGTCATATTTTTCATTAGCTAATTTACCTCCGCCAACTATTACTACTATTACCCACTAATAGCATTTTGGCTTTGATTTATTTGAATTGTATATCTAATAGTATTTGATTTGGTGTATGTACATATATATATATATATATATATATATAGTCAGAAATCAGGTTCCTGTAACAAGAATGCTTTATATTTTACCCATGATCAAAACATTGCAATTTAGTAGTTCATAGATATTGTCTGGGCTGAACATGGCATTTTCATTACCTTCCATAACCGTAATTGGGTCGACGATGTTGTCTCCAAGATTTGAATTTGGGTTCTTTTGTCGAAACATAATGTCTTATCATTGTATTCGACATTGGTTGATGAACATGATATTTTCTCAACTTAAAAAGTATGCCTTGGCCCTTGTAGGTGATATGCATTGCTTTGCTTGCCTTTTTGTTCCTGTTGGGACTTCGTTCTGCATCTTTTACTTTAATTTTCCTTTATTGTATTCCCATTTAGCAGTTGATGATTGTCTTTAAATATGGTCCTTCCAGGTCAGATTGATCTTTGAGGCATGTTCTTAATTCCATTTTGTTAGGGGTAGTTTAGCATCTTTGTTGCAGGTGCTTTAGATGGCTATAAAGTTTTTTGCTATCAAAAAGTGCTTTCGAAAACATGCTAAACACATTTAGGGCTAGTTTAACCTTGCACATAGCAATTAGCTTAATAGACTGGTTTCAAAAGCACTTCTCAATCACGCTTATGACGGTAAATACCCGTTATTTACCCGTTATTTAATGTTGCTTTTGCCGTCGAAAAGTGTTTTTGGACGATCACGGAAACTGGGACCGAGGGCTGGTATTTCTATTTGGTTCAAAAAAGGAAATGGACCCTTCAAATTGGCAGGAAAGGAAGTGAAGGGCTAAAGTGATGAAGAGAAGAGGATCTACAGAAACCGTTTATGCCTTTTTAGTGCCTTTTGGGAGGGTTTTCTTCTTTTCTTTCCTTCTTCCCTCCCTTGTTTGGTGGCTGTAGGGCTATGTGCTGGAGCATGGCATCAAGATTCTTGTTCCACCACTTTCTCTCTCTCCCTTCACTCACTAAGGGTTTAAAAAAGTGGCCAAAATCATTCTTTTGTCTAACAAATTAGTTTGGATATGTTATTATATTCAGCCTTTGAAACCACTTTCTACTTGGTTAAAAATGGATGAAAACTAATCAAACCCAACTTTCCCATCTCCATTGAGTGCAAGCCAAGACATGAAGAAAGCTTTGCTTATTCTATTACTTCAGGTCTAATTATGAATTTCATCTTTCTATTTTACAAAAATTATTAAGTTAGCCCCTTTTACTCCAATTTATCAAAATTCGATGTTCGGATTTTGTGAAAATATTGAAATTATCCGGTTGGTAAACAAATGAACTTAAGTTGTTGATTTTTTTCTTCTAATCTGTTATATATAATTGCATAACAACGTTACTCAATTTGATTTACATTTTAGTTATTGTAAAGTGCGGTGATCAAATTTTGAAAAATTAAAATAAATAAACTTAATAGTGTTACCTTATTTATTAAAAAATCGAGAAGTTCTCCCTGTTAGTAAACAGATGAACTTAGGTCAAGGAAAATCAAATTTTTATTTTTTGAAATTCGAATTTTGCCCACTGAGATTTTATTGAGACATACAGAAATTTTGTGCTATTAATATGTAAGTGTTCACCCTTAAAAAGACTTCTAGATCCCCATTGATGATTGATGGGATGAACTTTTCGATTATCATAAAATAAGAGGACCAATTTTTGGGAAAATAAAATCAAACAGTCCAATATCTCGAATTTTAGTAAAGTAAAAGGAGGAAACTAAAAATTAGACCATTAAATATCAGTTCCAGGATGTAGGAAGACGAAAGGAAAGTTGGGTTTTGTTTACATTAGGAGTAAACGCAACTTACTGATTTTGGCAACATGTGAAAGTTGGGCGGTTGCTAACATAAATTAATGGGGGGAATTGGGTTCGTTGAATTGAATGCAACACTAACGATCAAACTTGGCTTTATTTTATACACAGCTGATTGAAACAAAAGTGTATAACCCACTAACTGGGATTTTCTTCTTATATATTTACCTAATCAAGAAATTAGTAGTGATTAACTTAAAACAACTTTCTTGTCTTGACCTAACAAACATAGTATATTCGATTCCACTCTTTTTGTGCCGTTAATATCAAATTTGTTCATTGCTGAAACCATATACATACTATATAATATATGCCTTTGATTTCAAGCCGTCCATCTAACTATGGTGGATGGTCCACTCATGTTTGCAGAATAACCCATCACCTGAGATGTAGGGTTGTAAATAATTGAGCTTGGATTAACGTCTATTTGTTCATATTTCCTTGTTTATGTTAAAGTTTGTTGTATGTATTTATTGTGAATTTTATATTTGTGTTCGTGTTTGTTTATTTAAAATTTATGCGTGTCTATATTCACTTATTCCATATTTGTTAACATATTCGTTTAGCATGTTTGTTAACATTAAACGAACAATCTAAACATATAATTAAACATGTTTACAAGTAATTAAAAATCTATTTGTGAAAAATAAATAAATATATCAACCTTTAATTTTACAAATGTTAGTGTTTATACAGTAGTTAGCTAAATTACAAAATGTCTAACTAAACATACATCTAATTACTAACAGTTATAATTAATTATTGAGATGTATTTTAGATTCGATTAAATTTATTTGATTGAATAGTAGTTTAATTCGAAATTAAATTGAAAACCAAAAGGTAATAATTGAAAGTTTAAGGATTGAATTGAAAAGGAAGTAAAAGCGAAGGATTTGCATAGTCATTGAACGAAAAGCCTGGAATTTTATAGGATTAGAATATTATGTATATAATTGGTAATTATTGTATTGAAGGAAAATGAAGAAATTAGTGAAAGTGATGATTTGAGGTTTAAATTGAAAACTTGATGAAGTAAGATCCTTATTGTGTGATAATACCATTTGTAAGATAGTCTTAGAGGCACCTTTTAATTCGAAACTAAACACTATCATTTGAATGTTTGAATCAAAAGAGATTCTCATTTACAGTGCAACAAAAATGATGAAACCTTAACAGCTGATATTACTCATTCTTTTCAGCCTGTCTCGCACCAACAGCAAAGAACTCGGTAATGACTTCGAGCGGCATTCCTTTCGTCTCTGGGACTTTCAAGAACACAAACACCCAAGACACCACACACACGACGGCGTATAACCCGAAGATGCCGACGAGACCTATAGGACTGAGCATCATCGGCATGGTGTAACTAACAATGATGTCTCCGATCCAGGCAATCAAAACACAGATAGCGATACAAAGGCCGCGGACCCTCATTGGAAAGATCTCAGAGCAGAGGATATTCGGTCCGTATCCCATCACGAAGAAGCAGAGGTAGACCATCACACATGCAGTTGAGATGGCAGCATTCACTACGGTGCCCAATTTCACTATCACACTGAACACTAGGATGATTAGTGACACCAGAACAACAGGGATCGTGGTGAGTAGCAGCCGCCTGCAAGTGGTGAACGTATTATTTTCTTTCCATTTTCTTAAGTATAATTTTACGAGTGGGAAAGAATGTTCGAGAAACTGAAATTACCTTCTGCCTGATATATCCATTAGTTTCATGGCTACACCTATGCAGGGCAGCATCAGCAAGGTTGCGAATGCACTAATAAGAAATGATGCAGAATATGAACTAGGCCCCAAGTTCGAAAGAAGCACTTCAACGCCCGCCTCTCCAAGAATTTGAGGAGTGTAGTTGAGAACTCCATTTATGCCAGAGAGCTACACATAAATTTCAGATTTCCAAAAGTACTTTCCAATCTATAAACTAACGTAGTGAAAATGACAGTGTTGTAAAAAGGATAAGAACCAACAGATTTCCAAAAATATAACAGCTGATTACCTGCTGAAGTATCTGAATCCCAACCCCGATTAATAGCGCGCGTTTCACTCCTGGGTCAAGGAGAGCAGCCCAAACTGGTCCTTTTGAGGCAGTTTCAGCTGGATGAACCATTGCTGGTTCAACAGGAGGCTGATCCTTGAGTTCTTCGGAATAAAGGGCAGATTGGCTCACTATGGCTGAAGCCTGGATAAACTCACCTTCTGCAGGCGTATCATTAACTGAAACTGATGCACGGGACTCACGTCGAGATAGCAAGATTCCCTGCTCGTGCAAATAAATCCTTTTAAACCCTCCTTCCTTCTTCCCATCCCCATCTTCTGTCTCGGACCATTTCCATGCCAACTGCCAACCACCTCCAATTCCTGTGCTACCAACCGATTCTACAACATCTTGCACAAGAGTGCTGTGACGTCTCATGCTTGGAGTACTGCCAGAGCTAGCTGTTCGACGTGAGATTAAAGGGCTACGCAGATTGCCATCAGAGTCACTCCCTGCAGCATAATCCTCACCTTCCCACTGCGAGCTCTCCTCATCCCAACGGTCATTTCTAATATGAGGCTCTGCTGTACTAAACATGCTTCCAAAATTCAGAAAATGTGTACTACAGTTGCTTCCCATCACGGGAAGCTTTTCGTGCACGCTACCAAATAATCTCAGATTATTTTAGTTTGATTCAAAAAAATAATTTAATATTTAACTAACTAGCTTGAGCTCAAACAAATTAAGTGATTAGTTTAGTCTAATTTAAGTACCATCAGAGATGGATTGTCTCGAGTCTCCTATTTTTTTTTTTAATTTTTATATATTTTAGATTTTTTATTTATATCTTTTATTGATAATATATTTTGACCCTTAAAATTTTATAAGTTAATTCTTAATATAAAATCATATGTCCATTTCCGAACACCATAATACTTAGGTGATGTTTGTTTTTGCAGAGGTAAAAGGTCTGCAGTCTACGGACCACATCTGCAAGCATCTGCAGCAGAAGAGGATGATCAAAAGTCTGCAGTCTGCAAGAAGAAGATTGTTTGTTTTTTAACGTCTGTAAACTACTAAAATAAACTGATTTTTTAAACTTAAAAGAGTTTTGCAATACTGAGATTTAAATAATTTTAGTTTTACAATACTGAAATTTAAATAATTCATACAACTACAATAATAATTTTTTTAGAAAAACAAACACCACCTTATTAATTCTATTATAAGTCTCACATAATCACATGTATTATTAGTTTTATAAGTTTTATAGAATAAAATTTATAAATGATCATTAAATTATATAATTTTTTTAAATATGCAATTATGTAATACTTTTAATTTTTTTAAATATATATTCATAATTTATTTCTATAATTATATGATATTTTTAGAAAATATTTTTTAATTTATCAAATCATTTTATGATTATTTTTTATTTAAGTGTGATTATATTTTAAAAACATAATTTATAAGTTTTTATATTTTAAAATCTTAACTATCAAACAATGAAATCATTTTTTATTAAGCAATGTGGTTTAAATAATTACATTTTGTATAAAAAGTTTAAATATAATTTAAAAACAACAAATCCAAAAAATATTATATTTAAACTTAAATCAAAATAATTAAAATAAATATAAAATAATTTATATGATATAAAATTAAATATCTATAATATAATATTAAAAAATAATATTTAATTTATTTAGAAAATTAATATTAATATTAAAATCAAATATAATATAAAATTAAATATAAAACCTCTTTGAAGAGGTTAGAAGATGTCTGCAGACATAAGATCACATTTGTGTCGCGCAGACCACGCACAAACGTTAGAAGAACTTTTGTCTTCTAAAAAACAAACAGTCTGCGAAGCTCAATGTCTGCGTGTGGTCTGCGCAGCGCATACATAAGAGCTTTACTAACCTTACACAGTAAAAACAAACACCACCTTAATTTGCAAGTTGAATCATACTTTTCAATTTTAGTATATATATATATTTTTTATTAATTTATATTTCTATTATATTATATTTTATTGAATATATACAAGTTTAACCATACTCGAATTTGAATTTTAATACAAAAATCGGTAAACAAGCTTAATCGAAAGCTCAAATAGTTTGATTATATCTAGGGTTGTAAACGAACCAAACGTTCACTGAACCGTTCGTGAACCATTTGGCGGGAAGTTTGTTTATTTATTAAATGAACGAACATGAACAAAATTTGGTGTTCGTTTAATTAAATGAACGAACATTAACAGAGGGCTCGTTCGTTCATTTACGTTCAATAATATGTTCGTTTATGTGCGTTCATTTATGTTTAGCCTAATCCATCTAAACTCATTTAAAATATTAAAACCAAATAAATTTTAATCTGATACCCATAAATATTTTAAAATTCAATTAATTTTAAATACAAATAAACAAAGCCCAAAACAATTAAATAAAATATAATCCTAAAATTGTTAGGAAAGAAAAAATATATTTTCATTTATATTCGTTTATGTTTATTTATTTGTGTTCGTTTATGTTCGTTCATTTGTGTTCGTTTATGTTTGTTTACATCCGTTCGCTTTATATTCATTCATTTGTGTTCGTTTATCATTTAAATGAACAAACATGAACGAACACAAATAAGCTATATTCCTTAAAGAACAAACACGAACAATAAATTTTTTATTCGTTTATGTTCGTGCTCATTCATTTGTTCGGTTAGAGTTAAACGAACGAATATGAACATACATCCGTTTGTATTTGTTCGGTTAGTTTGGAGGACTAATTATATCTCAAGTCAAATTTAAACTTAGAATATTTGATATTTAGACAATATCAAATTAAATTTTAAACTCTTAATTTTAAATCAACTTTAAATTTATCAATATTCACTCCACTCAGTTAAAGCCCACTTCCTCTTTTAACTATGGGAGGCAAAGCAAAATGAAGCCCCAAATGGAGGTGGAGGATTATAAATGGGGAAATGTTGAACGGATAAAAGCCCAACAGAATAACCCAATCTAAAACTAAATTGATTACCAAGATAAAACCTATATGGAGATGGTTTTGGTTATTTGGATTAGGTCAACCCGACCCGAACCTAAACCCAAACCCAAACAGTACAAGTAGAGTGATGGAGACAGGGTTGAGGAATCATCACCTTTAGAAAATAATCACAAGATCAGCCGGCGAAGAAACGAAAAAAATGTCGTTGCTAAAGGGAGAGCCTTTGGTCGCAAAGCTAGCTGCTTTAGCCAAGTACGTCGTGCTTCCCGGAGCTATGTTTGCTGCTATTGTTTACTCTCCTCCCAACTATGATTCTTCCAAGAAGGGCAAGTCCCACAAATAAAACATTACCTTTTGCTTTTTCCCCTGGTTTGTATTTTACCCTTTTCTTTAAAATTGATTATGTTTTTTATTAGGGTTTTGCTTTTGTATTTACGATTGCTTAATTACTCCATGGCTTCTAATTATTGTCAGAACATGGATCTGATTGTGATTTGATAGCAGTTGTATCGCTGCGCTTATTTGATTACTCCTTGATTTCGTTGATTGGATTGAATTTCCCATCTTTATTACTCTTGGTTTATTATAGCAGTAACCCATCTCGTTCGTGGATGGGTCAACTTATAAATTTCTAGAGTGACGAAAATGAATTATCAATAAAAAATACAAATAAAATGATACTTAAATAGTTAATTTATATGATAATTTGAAATTTTAAGGGGAAAGTCTCTATGTACAATAACAAATGTACCTTGAGAACAAATCCTGATTTATTCTTTATGTTTTGTGCATTTCTTAACTGGGATTTTTCAATATCACGCTGCAATTCTAATGGTTCCCTCCACCAGTAGTTGGGTTTTTCACAGGTCATTGCTTTTATTTCTCTGATTGTTGTTGGTTCTATCTGAATTTGCTTTCTCATGTAGAACTGTAAAGTTATTTCAGTGAGTTTTGAATTGCATCAAGGTTAGTTGTTTTAATTACATCAAGGTAAATTTGTCGACTCATTAGGTTTTGCTCATTGTATGACTGTCTTGAGCTCCGCTCTTCAAGTGCCGAGTGAAACATGCTGCTAAATGAATATACTCTTGGATGCTGGCTGACTATTACATGATTTACTTGCTGCAGGTATCTTTATACCAAAGGTTTTCGAGCTCCTTGTCTCTTTACAAAATGGGGTTTCTCCAATATTTCTGTATATTGTTCCTAGGTATGTGGAGAGAGCTGAATGTATTTGTTTGGCTTAGAATAACTTTTCTGTTTCCAATCGTTTGTTCTTCTCAGACTTATGCAGAAGAATCAGATATAATGTAATGAATACAAGAGTGCCCCATGTTGAATAATTTGGATTATTAAATTGTTAATCGATCATCCTTGCTATCTGTTTGTGTTATGTTTGTGTGTATTTCTAGTTATGTCTGAATCTTGGATCAGTTAAGCACCCAGCTTGGACTTATGGCTGCACTTCTTTTAAAGTTTCAAGTACTATGATCTTTAACTTTAATCTTCTCCGAGTTTTATTATGGTATTCGTTCCTATTCGAAGGTCTTCATACATTCAAAACATGATATAGATATTAGTGTAGAGAAATTTCAATTAGATCAGTGCCTTTGAGCCATTTCAATTCTGGTCCCCAGAAGTTTGTCCACAATAAAAGGCAATTCCTTGGCTCAACTCTCAAGATGGAAATCAGGCACGCTTTCATCTTGATTTGTTCCGTGTTTGCTTTAGGGTTTCAACTGGTGCTCGTAGTGTCTTTCGTCTTCCCCTCTGGTAAAAGTAGCATATCAACTTGATCAGGCAATGCCATATTTGCGAAAAGAGCTAGTGTTGGACCATTTTTAAACATGTCATCAATGGGTCTCTTTCTCGTGATAAAAGTTTCTCTATAATGATATCCATTACTATTTTTTTTTAAAAAAGACGTTTATATAATTTTATAATTGAAATGAAATTTGATTAATCGATCATATCAATTCAACAGAACACTTACTATATATATATATGACCAACCCCAAATTGTAAACTGCATCATTCATATAGAAGAGAGGAGGTAGAGGAAAAAATGTTGGGGGATTCATAGGAGAAACAAAACCTAGACACGCCGGCACAATCCCTCCTATCAGACAAAACAAAAGATCCAACCCCAGAGTGCACCAACGTCGACAGCTGACCAATGTAGGGATTGCAATGAGTCAGGTCGGATTAGATTTTTGACTCACTTGAATCTGATAAAAAAATTGAAGTCATCCACCCAAACTTCAACCGACTTGTGTTTAAGAAGGGTTCCACTCGACCCGAAATTCAATCCGATATTTTAGGTTTAAAAGCACAATTGACCTAATTCGGCTTATATATATATATATATATCATGTAAAATAAAGATTTAATTGAAAAAATTAAAATGATCGTTATTAAAATTATCTCTAAATATATAAAGATAATTATAATATTCAGGTTGAAGGTTTTCTTACCTTAAATCTAAACTCAATTCAATCGCATCCTAATTTGATCTAAATCTAAATTTTTAAAATAAAAGACTGGCCTGATTGAATTAGATTGGACCTGGTTTGATTACGGATAAAATGACCATCCCTAAACGGAAGAGCTTCTGACTATAGACCAGAAAGGGGAGGGGGAACTTGGACTTACTATGGCTACACTTCTTTTAATAAGTTTCAAGGACTACCCTTCGGCTCAAATGAAATGAACCTTATGTTTCTTATCTCACACTCCATCCCAAATTCCCGATATTCAACACATCAAATCAGCAAAAGAAATCGCAGGCTTTATTTTGGTATGTCTCGACTTTCTTTAAACGAGAATTTCAAGAACAGTTGACAGCGGAAAGGAAAAACTTCTGCAAATTATAGATAAAACACGTATGGTACAATCACTTGCTAAGCATTTAATTAGCTCCAGGAATCTTACAAACACACATACATAAACTCATTTACATTTCATATAATCTAATTGCGAAGATATCATGACATTTATATATTGTCAGCGAACCCCAACATACTATTATTGTAATCCATGTCGAAAAACATGGGATTTTGACATGTGTTAAGGGGATGAATCTTGTCCATCCAACTCATTGTGCTGGCATCAGGCAGTGGAAAATGGGTAAGGTTAGCCTCAGTCTTGCACTGTTTGAGAATAGTAACGGCTTGTTCCTTCAAAATGCTATCTTGGTGTGAGATTAGGGACTTGAAGAGCATCGATGTTGCCGATGAGTTGCTACTGTTTTCGACAGTGTTCTTGTCGGGTGTTCTAGTAAAAGTGGGAGTTGCTGAAAAGGAGGGCTGGAACCCATTATCATTAGCTGGGAATACCACTGGGTTTATTAAGCTTTTCAGGTCGTTTTCCAGAAAAGAAGTTTGGGTTTGCATTGAAGTTCGAGACTGAGATTCCAAGAACGGATTTGGGGTTTCAATCAGATGAGGAAAGGATGTTGTTGCTGATGTTGGTGAAGATGAAACATCCAAGTTATAGCGTTGTGCTTGAGCTAGACCATTTTTCTTCTCACCTTTTTTGTGAATTATTCTGCAAATCACCCATTCTTCCTGCATAATAACGTATCATTTGAAGAGAATATTATGAATAATTATAAAGCAAAGAAGAATGAAATGAAATAGGGTTTTATCTTGCAGGCTCGTGCTTTCTTTCCAAACTTGTTTATTTAGTGCATAAAAAATAATCATGCAACTAGTGAGTGAAAACGAAAGCAATCACATCAGAAAACTACACTCCAAGGTAATGCACACAGTTCGACGACACGTGTAACATTATTTAGCAGCAAAATGTCAACCAAGAAACCGATAAAGGAGGAAAATAAAAAGGACCGGGGACACGTGTCATACCTTGCACGTGTAGCGGCAGGAGAAGTGACCGTCTAAACGGTACTCATGCATGACCCACTTCGTCTTCTCTCCACGGGGAGCTCTCCCCCTGTAGAAGACAAGTGTTTTTTTCATTCCAAGTAGTGCTCCGGTGGTGGCGCCGTACACTTCCCGATCTTTTCCGGTGGCTTTCCAGTACCCAGCTCCGGTAGCTCTATTTGTTCTCACCCCCGTTGGGTACTTCCTGTCCCTCAAGCTGAAGAAATACCACTCCCTTTCCCCCATTTTCGCCACATCTTTTCCATTAATCCACCACAAAGAAAACAAATCACTCTCGTCAGATTACATAACCTATTTGCATGTAATAGTTAATAAATAACAATACATTTTGTGTATAATAATACCTGGAAGCTCCCAAGGTTCACATCGGTTAAGATCAACCTCAGCGATCTGCACTCCGCAGAAGCTTCCATTGAAGACCTTGGAAGCTAAATAAAAAGTGATGAGCTCTTCATCTGTAGGGTGAAACCTAAACCCAGGCGGTAATCCCTGCTCGTTCACCTCTTCCCCACTAAGTTCACTTAAAACTTCTTCCACTACCAACATCTTTCTCTATTGTGAATCTGCAACACGAAATGGCACTCGAAAATGCAAATATATGATGGAGAGAAAGCCCTTAAAATGGAGAAGATAAGGCATTTGGGGGGTCTCAAAAGGCTAGAAAGGCCTACAAAAGGGCACCTGAGTGACCGAGTGAGGGGTAGTAAATGCAAAGTCGGTTGCAGAGGGCAGAGATTTATGCGTGCGTATGTGAGCATATTGAAAAAGAGAGAGAACAGAACAGAAGAGTGAGATCATCGTCATCATCAGTTTTAAACAAAAGATCTAAGATTAGTTTAATTGTACGATACTACGATTACCAAATCTGAGAAATGGGCGGTTCTTTCCCTTTCTCTTCTTTTTATATGTAGGCAGAATTGTTGTTTAGATTCCGTGTTGTTAACTTTTTTACAGTGCCGATTATTGCTGACGACCGACCTCCTTTATTAATCTATGTCGTCTTTAGTTATGGAGCAGGCAAGGCTTGCTTGCTCGCTCGTGTGCTTTGAAATTTTAATGCTCTCATTCCTTGTCAGTCGTGCATGGCTTTGGAATGGCATGTGTTTGTGCTCTATTGAGTACTGTCTTTTCTCGAGTATTGATCAATAACAATTTCATTATACATAATAATGGACGTCTCGTCAAATCTAACTACTTTGATCACTGTATTTCTCAACTAATTATATATACTTTTTCACTCAAAAGTAAAGATAGATGTGGTCACTTAAGATTGTCATCATATTTCACTAAGACCTTTTCGTCACATATTAATCCTAGTGCATATAATGAAACTCCACCAACCCTGCCATCAATTACCTATAATTAGAGAGGGTGAAAACACTTCATCAAATGATATCAATGATAAAATTAAATATTAATCTATTTAAAATTTTTGAATTCGAACAACGATATCGATACACATAAGTATCCGTCCTAAACCCTTTTAAACTCTTGTGAACAAGTATACGGAAATATATGCTATGATTAAAATGAGGTCCGCATGAGACAATACAAGTGAAATGAAGTTGAATGAGATGAAGGGTCCTGATTCCGGGGAATGGGAGCCATGTTATTTGCTAACCCACAAGATCTAGCTACCTTATGATTGATCAAAGGAGGGCAGCTGAGTTCTAGAAATGTCGGCGTCGCACGTGTACACTGTCCCACGTAATTAAAAGCCTTGTCCCAGGCTACTACTCTTGCTGTCTCTCTCCACCCTCTATGTATAACATAGACCATTGTAAAAGATAACAGCATTCATGCATACATTCATACAGATATTCTCTGCACTTCTGTACATACATACATACATAATAGATACATACATAGAAATATTATACATGACCATATTCACGTGGGTCAGTGGTAGGTAGCTAGGGCTAGGTCTGGATCTTGTAGTCCGTAGGGCTGCTTTTTGAACGTGTTATCTTTTTCGTTTGTCTGTAACCCAGCTAAAGCCATAGCTCTTATTATTTGAGCACCTCTATCTTCACACCCTCTCTATTCCTTCCCCTCGTGGGGGAAATTGATAAAAAGAACACGTCATTTTCATTTATCATAATATACTTACGTACGTTTTCATTCATCGGTAGGGATGAATTATTTAACATACATAGTGGGGGATCCACACCTACCATCAATTCAAGTACCTTGTCAGTTTTATTATTTATTTCTTTCGTTAAATATATATAAGCATGATCCTAATAATTTAGGTGGTTGATAAATTATTATTATTTTTTAAAGTTATAAGTTTAAATATTATGTATGTAAGGGTGTATGAACATTTTAAATGATTTAGAAAATTATATATATAATTTATTTGAATTGAATCTATCAATTGATCTTAATAGTAAAAATATATTATTATTCTTCATAGAGATATAAAATTTGAATAATTACGTCTGTACGATACATATGCATTGTTAATAAGCATGAAAGATTTCGAACATATATTATCATTCCAAAATATTAGAAAAAATCTGAACAAAGAAATTCATTTAGAATGAATAAAATAATTATATTATATAGTATATGTTCAGTTTTGAGTAATATTGATATCACGATTCAAAATGCATTAATTTAATTAGTAATGGATGAAATAAGTATTAAAGTATTTTTAAAATTTTAAAATTTTAAAATTTTATATAAATATGTATTTACAAAGATTTTCTTTTATAAAAAAAGAAGAAGAAGCAAACATGTTACGTAAAACCACACTTCCTACACAATAACTATTAACATATTGTATGATAACTTAAGAAATGAAGGGTTGAAAAATTAAATAATTAAATTATTTGATAAATATAAAATTTAAAAGAGAATATATTTGAAATCATAAAAAAACAAATGTATTAGATATAATCTTATCATATAAATATTGTATTACTAATAATATGAAAGTAGTCAAAGACACAATTAAAGGCATCAAGGAGAATTCAAATTCTGTAAAGTCTAAAGGACTACCCTCGACCTCGGAATATATATTCTTTGACTGAAAGACCCTACAGCATTATTATTATTTTATTAATATTATTACCTTGAAAAATTAAATAATATTGTGTTTTTATCAATATATAAAGGTATAATAATTCAATGTCTGAATAAATGAATTTAAAATTAGAAACGGTTTATTATAAAAAAGAAGAAGAAGAAGATAAAGTATAAGATGTATTAAGACGTAAAATAAAAATCGAAACATGTGATAACACCTAAAATATAATATACATGATAACATTATACCCACTTATTAAAATTGATATAAAATGATTTATTTACTAAGTTAAATCACTTTGATAGACAACAACACAGAATGCACCACAATACGAAAACTATGGAAAGAATGTGTCAAAATCTATGTAAAATGATCGTTAACACTTATAATAATAGTAAATTTGGAAAAGAAAAAATAACGTGATATATAAAAATAATATCAGAACAATACACATACTTTTTTTTGAATAAAAAAATACAAATAATACAAAAGGAAACTATTTTCCAAAATAATGTTGTTTGTTTTGTTGCTGAGGGTCGATATAAATAAAGAGAAATCAAAAATTAAAATTTGCTTTGATCTAATAAGAATTGAATTTGTCTCAAATCTCGAGATAATATAGAGTCGAATAAAATATCAAATTTTGAGTCGATATCAGGATAGTAAAAAATTTGAGCCACCCTAACTATTTACCATCTTTACTAGGCTAAACTCACGATATAATGCACTCAAAATAAATAATTCACGAAATAACGTTATCCCAATATTATTTGCTGAAATAGGGCGAAATCAACAGTGTGGCCGTAGGTCGCCATGTCTTCCGGGCGACCTACGACGTGGCTTCCGACGAGGGTCGTGTGCATGGGAATGATCGTGTGCATGGGACATGCACAACCCAACCATAGGTCGCCATGCACTCCCAGCGACCTCCTAGGTCGCCATGCACGCCCGGCGACATCCCCTGCTGCATGCTCGCCTGCTCGCGACCTTGTCTTTGGTCCTTACTCCACGCTGCATGGCCGCCTGCTCGCTGCATTATTGCTCGCCTGCTCCCGCTGCTCGCTGCATTATTGCAGCATAATTTTTGATGCTTCATGCAGCAATTATTGCTGCAATCCACGAGAATCAACGGCTCGTGATTCTTCAATTATTGGTGCATGGCAGCCGACCCTTTAATATATAGGGGGTATGATATGGGGTTAAGGAAGCATAAGAAAGAAAGGGAGAAGAGTGTCGAGAGAAAGGAAAGGAAGAAGAAGAAAGGGAGTCCGGCAAGCAAACATCGAGGTAAATTTTCATTTTATTTAATTTAAATTAGTTTATTATTTTAAATTATTAGTTTGTTAGTTTAGGGTTAGGGTTAGTTTAGGGTTAGGGTAAAAAATTTACTTAATTAGTTAGTTTGTTAGTTAGTTAGTAGTTAGTTATATATAAAAATATATAATTAGTTTGTGTTAGTTAAATAGTTAAGTTGCCATATGATTTGTTGAATTTATTTTATATAAAAAATTTAGTTAATTAGTTTTTTGGCAGTGAATTATAATTAAAAAATATTTTATTAGTTTAAGTTATATTAAAGAATAGTTTATTAGTTGAAGTTATATTAAAGAATAGTTTATTAGTTGTTTAAAGAAAATTCACGTTTAAGTTATATTTTAAAAAGTTTAGTTTGTTACTTTATAAGTTTATTATATTATAAGTTAATATATTAAATTTTTTTGTTGGGTTGTAAATTAGTTAGTTAGTTAGTCACTTAACACTAGATTATATTAAATGATTTTTTAAATGCTGTTGTTTAATTTTTTTTATAGATTCATTCCAATGGCTGACCAAATTCCACTGCTGAGACTTGACAATGAACATATTTCAAGTCATTTGGGAATAATGGTGAAAAAAATATTTGTTTAATGAATTATAATTAATAAATATTTGAATATTATTTGATGGTGATTGTGATAAATGTTTTGCATTATTTAATTGTAGGAGGACGAGCAACGAGTCCTTCGTCTTCGGCTACATAAAGTGCCCAAGCCACACAGATTGATAGAAGAAAACTTGCAGGAGGCTGGATTTTGGTATGTAACATTTGTACGAGATTACAAGTTGGTCCCAGGTTTGATCAGTGCCTTGATTGAGCGTTGGAGACCAGAAACACACACGTTTCATTTGCCGTGTGGCGAATGTACGATAACTCTGGAGGATGTGGCATTGCAACTCGGGGTCCAAACAAATGGGATGCCAGTGGTAATGTCACATGAGTTTAATAATGTGGCACAACTTTGTAGCTTGTTCTTGGGAAAACGCCCGTACCACCAGAGTGTAAAGGGTGGCGTGTGAGGTTGTCATGGTTGAAGAATGAATTTCAGCTTCAACCAAATAGTACTGAGCACGAAATTATATATGCAACACGAGCATATATATTACAGTTGATTGGGGGTATTTTAATGCCGGATAAATCCGGTAGTTATGTTCACACTCAATATCTTCTTTTTTTAAGAAATTTTGAGAATAGTAGGCAATATAGCTGAGGATCGGCGATATT